CGGACTACTGCCAATCCCCCAGTATACTGCCCCCCCAAATTTTCCCCGCTGTACTGCCAAACCCCCAGATACACTGCCAACCCCCAGCTACTTGCCTATCTTCCCCGACTACTCTTCCTCCCAGTGACTACTGCCTATCCCCACTAACATGCCCACTCCCAGCGACTTTCTGCCTTCCTCCCCGCTGACATGCCATCCCAGCTGACACTGAAACCTCCCCGGGCTTGCCCCCCTCCCGCTGACTACCGCCTATCCCCGGGGATACCCCTATCCCCCGGTGACTACGCCTACTCCCGGCTGACTACCCCCAATCCTCCCCGGTGACTACGCACTTTTCCCGGCTGACTACTGCCATCCCCCCGGGTGACTTGCCCATCTCCCCGCTGATATGCCCATCCCCAGTTGATCAGCCTATCTCCCCGTTGATAAGCCCTATCCCCCGCGATACTGCCTATCCTCCCAGCTGACTACTGCCTATCCCCCCCAGTGGACTACTGCCACCCCCGCTGACTATGCCATCCTCCCCCCGACATGCCCACTCCAGTGCACTGCCTATCCCCCCAGTGACTCGCCTATCCCCCCAGGACTATGCCATTCCCGCTGATATGCTATCCTCCAGTGACTATGCCTATCCCCCCAGCGACTATGCCTATCCTCCCAGCACTATGCCTATCCCCCAGCTGACACTGCCTATCCTCCCCCGCGATATCCATCTCCCAGTGATTGCCCCCTCCCGTACTACTGCCTTTCCTCCCACTGACATGCCTATCCCCCCAGCTGACTATGCCATCCTCCCCGCTTATCGCCTATTTGATTTTGAAGGCAACATTTCTAGCCCCCTGTTTACATAAACATAATCCATATCTGCCCCTACTGTTTAAATATTTAAAAAAGGGTACACAATAGGACAATAGGGCTAATATTACTTTATGCCCCCCCTGGGGTAAAGTCACTTTTTCTTTTTAAGAACCCTTTATCCCCCTGAGGGGGTGACCCAAATAGAAAAATTAAATTTATTTTTTTAAATTTTTTAATTTATACAGGAGAAGTGGTTACAGCCCTTTCTCCCCAGCAAAAAGTCCATATTCCCAATAACCTTTCCATAGGGGAAAGAGTTATGCGACGTTTTGGGGCTTTGTCCCGTCCCCTCCCCGCCCCCTTGTATTAATTGGGTCCTTTTTTCTTTTGTAAGTGTGAACTAGTCAAAAGTCCCAAGTCAGACTGAAATGTTTTATAAGTTTCCTTCTCGTGTGTGGGTTATCCTGTATTGTTGCAAACATGACATTTTTGCCCTTTTTTTCTTCAAATCAATATTTGGCCCCAAAATGCCTAAAATTGACAGTGTTAAGGTGCCCCCGTTTTGGGGAAAAGGGTTGCAGAAAGTGAACCGAGTAAACATCAGGTGCTAATGCAAGTAGTGATTGAGGAATCCAGCCTTTTGGTTATCCATGAAGGATGGGTTCAGCTTTGGCCCCCCCCATCGATGTAACTATGCCTGTTCCGAGTCTCACTTTTCCCAATATGAATATCCACCCCGCCCTCATAGGTAATATCACTTTCAATATTTTTGTGCAAACCTTGGATGGTTTTCTTGACTATCATATTTATAAAGGGAGGAACGTGGGAAAAAAAAAATGGTTGGTTAAATTTTAATTTTTTTGTGGCAATGTTTTCTCTCCGAAATTTGGCAAGTTTATGGAGAGAAAAGTTGCCAGTAAAACATCACATTTGTTTTCACTGTCCCATTTTCTAAAATTTTGTCAGAAATTTTACGTCTTTTAAATTTTCCCCGACCCCCGTTGGCCTAAGGGTCAGAATTTGGGAAAAGCGGTTTTTCCCCTTCCCCACTACACACACACTGCTTTCAGCTGCTTTTTGGGGTGTCACGTGCATTCGTTTTTTCAAACACTTTTGGGATTTTCTCTTTTGGTTTTTTCTCAGTAAGTTGTCAGGTTTGAGAAAATGTGGCCCTGGCAAGGAATGAGTCGTGAGATATTTGAAGATATGCACGAAAACATAAATGAATTGTTTGAAAAAGGATGACTAAGAACCAACTGCAAAAGAAATGCTGAAGGAGCTCAGTTCCCAGTTAGAAGCAAGGTGGATAACAGATGATGAAGCAGAACCTGTAGATAAACAGTTAATAGTGCAACAGTAACTGCTGCATGCAAGCAACTCTATTTTATTGGTAGAGTTAGACTTTTCACTGAAGAGGACACTGATACTTCTTGAAACACTGCTCTTAAGTTTGGGTTTGGAGCAACTCATGATGCCTTATTACCAGCTGTATAAAGTTCTGCAAACATGGCACACATTACAGAATACTAGAGCACCCCAGTACAACCCTCAACTGATGACAACTCTGCCTCCACATAAACACAAGAACCACAGTCATCCACCTCAGCCCAGTAGGGTAACATTGACCCTATCTATATACTCATGTCGACAAATAACATTAACTAGAAAGTAAGGTAAGATAAACATTATTAACCCTTTCAGGGTCCAAGGCCCAAATCTGGAGTCACGCACCAGTGTCCAAGAATTTTCAAAAAAAAAATTTGTTATTTTTTCTTATGAAATCGTAGAGAATCTTTTTGTGGAGGAAATAAAACAAAAAGTACAAAATTTGGTGGAAAATTGACGAAATTATGCTCTCGCGAATTTTGATGTGTCAGCGATATTTACGAATCGGCGATTTTGCCGAATTTGACTCCCATTTTAGGCTAATTACATTATTCCAATCAACCAAATTCTTAGCTATTTCACTAGTATTACTTCTATTCTATCGATTGAGCACAAGAAATCGCCAAGTCAACTGTTTCAACTACAAAATAAAGTGATCGGAAATTGTTAATTTGGCCAATTTAACACAAAGTTCAAAATATTCCAATTTCAAATAGGGTCCAGAATAAACAATGTAGGCATTCTGGCACTAAACTAACATTTCCTCTGTTCATTAGTTATGTTTTGAGGCTTTACAAATAAATTCCATTTTGATTTTTTATTCACATAATGAATTTTTATTCACACCAAAAAATAGAAGATTTACTGTTATGCAATACTGTAATAATTGTATAAATATCATCACCATATTTGTGAATGTATATTAGACCCACCAGCTGACGTGTATTAGACGTGTGAGGTCGTTCGTTTACTCTTGAATATCGGCAAAAATTTAACATTTCCGCTACTTTGAGCTCAGTTTCAAGCCATTTCCAGTGCTAAAACCAATCAAAATCATCTCTATTTCTGTAATATGTCTTCCATTCTATCAAATGAGACCAAGAAATTGCAAATATAACTATAAAAAACATACGAAAAAACACTGCAAAGTTGCTGTTTTAATCGAAAAATCATGATTTCAGTTTTTTTCTCTCATTATACACAGTGTGCTGCAGGATCTGTTTTATGTGGTGCACACATACCACATAGATGTATTCTCTCATATCTATGCCCAAATGTACCACTCACAGTTTATCAGAGTGAGCTGAGCTCATGGCGTAGATCTACGGTTTGGACACTCACCGTAAAGCCGTAGATCTATGGGACGGACCCTGAAAGAGTTAAATAGCAAGTGGAATGTTTGAAAAAATTATTTAGTAAATTTTAAAGTCTCTGAACGTAACCCTATTTTTTCCATGTTCTTCATTTCCCAAAAAGCTAATTTCCACAAAGCACCAATTTTCAGGAACACATCTCCCAAGTTATTTGTGGGTTTACTGCAATTTTGTGGGTTATTTCATAATCATGGGTTCTCTGAGAAAGTCAGCACTGTGAATATGCATTATTACATTCATGGGGAAGTGCTAAATCCAGGAAGATCACATACAGAGCCTGGAAAGCAGAAGCTAATCAGGGGAAGGTTTGCTCCAGTTCCTTAGATCATGAGCCCTTTGATCCTTCTTCCCTTTAAACAGTTGTGGATACGTCACAGCATATATTAGTGATTACACCAGGCACAGCCATAGGCAAACAAAGCAGAACCCAAAATTCTTTTAAATTATGTCTGAAATTTTACAATCATATGCAGTGCCTACACAAACGTATGCTCTCTTATTCATTCTTCATTCTCTCTGAAGATATCCTTAGGAACATAAACACTGTACTACTTTTTTTTACACTATGGTTAAATTAAATACTGGAGATCTTCTATTTTTCAGTCATTCTACGGTATATGTACATATTTTCCCCTTAGGTAGTGTGGACCAAATTGTGAATATCTTTCTGCAGCATTATCAGGGGATGAGCTGGTGTTCTGTTCTTAGTTCGTATGTCCATGGACAAATTATAACCTGAAAATGCTTTCAATAAAAACTAGAGATGAATCTGAAATAAAATTTATATTGCATAATTATCCAAAAGCAATGTAAAACAGTGAGAAATTATCAGTAAAATTGTAAGATTATCATAATTTGGGGCACCATCGTTTGAGTGCCATTTCCGATTTTTTCTTTATGAAAATTACAGGAAACTTCAACCACTCTAGCAGCACCTTTCAAGCACCAGCACCGAGATGTATCTCATCAGAGACTCATTAGTCATTGTAAGGAATCCTGTTCCTGGGCTGGTGATGAAGACCATTTCCTGGTAGATTCAATGGTACATCTTTGGAACATACCCGGCTGGTGTCACCTTTTTTTCAAATTACACATAGTGGACTGCACAAGCTGCCCTTGGTGCCCTATATAGTAGTATAATACAGTAGAATGCTTTCTATTCTATTGTTCAAAGATTTATTCTGCTTGTACCAGACATCCTTCAGTTTCAGTCCTCCTTAACAGCTCTGGCTTTTAAGCAGACAGGTTTCTATATTCTAGGTGGTAAGTGTTCTTTTCTCCATACCATAAGCAGGTTGGGCAATATCTAAGCACTAAAAGAATGTCTAGACACCAGACTTGTGGGATCAGGGTTCATATGGCATAAGCCATCATAGGCTTCAAAAAGCAACAACAAACACATAAGTACCAAGAACTGTGAGAACATCCCACACACAAGCCTCATGCATACTTATCAACTTACCTATGAGCAGTAACATTGAGAACATCACGCACACAAGCCTCTAAGGCATCGGGATGAATGGATATTTGAGCGCCGGTTAATCCAAGCGTAGCACAGAAGTTATTGATGGCCTCTGGAGGGAATCCTCTACGCTGAAGTGCTGTTAAGGTGAAGAGTCTAGGATCATCCCAATCTGTAAATGGGTGTGTTACAAGTTAGTACAGAATTAATTCATTCATTACAAATACAAAATCAAATTGAATCTGCCCATTAAAAAACATTTTTGAGGATTAAAATAAATAATAAAAAAAAAAGGCAGAAAATGCATTTATAAATCCAAGGAATTACAAAAATGATTATGGCAGTCTATATCATTGTATGTAAACACCATGATGTAAGACTGGAAGGATAACAGAGGGCATAAGGCTGAGTGCGGACTTGTGATAGGAAAATTAAAACAATGATATGAAAGCAATGCCAATACTCAGGCTGCTAATAAATACTATACAGTAGGGCCCCACTTATACGGCAGGTTAGGTTCCAGGCTACTGCTGGAAAGCAGACATTGCCAGAAAGCAGAACACTTTTTTCCACTGATAAATGCATATAAATACCAGACAACAAGTTTACACAGTTTTGCATGATGGTAGGATTGCTGGTTTCTTTTTCTGTCTCATAAACACGCTAGATAACAGGGATATCTTGCTACTCCTACTTACACTTTGGTCACACTTCACAGACACGCACATGCATATATATATATACATACATCTAGGTTTTTCTCCTTTTTCTAAATAGCTCTTGTTCTTTTTTATTTCTTCTATTGTCCATGGGGAAGTGGAAAAGAATCTTTCCTCCGTAAGCCATGCGTGTCGTATGAGGCGACTAAATGCGGAGCAATGGGCTAGTAACCCCTTCTCCTGTATACATTTACTAAAAAAGAGAAGAAGAAAAACTTTATAAAACTGGGATGCTTAAATGTGCGTGGATGTAGTGCGGATGACAAGAAACAGATGATTGCTGATGTTATGAATGGAAAGAAGTTGGATGTCCTGGCTCTAAGCGAAACAAAGCTGAAGGGGGTAGGAGAGTTTCAGTGGGGGGAAATAAATGGGATTAAATCTGGAGTATCTGAGAGAGTTAGAGCAAAGGAAGGGGTAGCAGTAATGTTAAATGATCATTATGGAAGGAGAAAAGAGAATATGAATGTGTAAATTCAAGAATTATGTGGGTTAAAGTAAAGGCTGGATGCGAGAAGTGGGTCATAATAAGCGTGTATGCACCTGGAGAAGAGAGGAATGCAGAGGAGAGAGAGAGATTTTGGGAGATGCTAAGTGAATGTATAGGAGCCTTTGAACCAAGTGAGAGAGTAATTGTGGTAGGGGACCTGAATGCTAAAGTAGGAGAAACTTTTAGAGAGGGTGTGGTAGGTAAGTTTGGGGTGCCAGGTGTAAATGATAATGGGAGCCCTTTGATTGAACTTTGTATAGAAAGGGGTTTAGTTATAGGTATACATATTTTAGAAAAGAGGATAAATAAGTATACACGATATGATGTAGGGCGAAATGACAGTAGTTTGTTGGATTATGTATTGGTAGATAAAAGACTGTTGAGTAGACTTCAGGATGTACATGTTTATAGAGGGGCCACAGATATATCAGATCACTTTCTAGTTGTAGCTACACTGAGAGTAAAAGTAGATGGGATACAAGGAGAATAGAAGCATCAGGGAAGAGAGAGGTGAAGGTTTATAAACTAAAAGAGGAGGCAGTTAGGGAAAGATATAAACAGCTATTGGAGGATAGATGGGCTAATGAGAGCATAGGCAATGGGGTCGAAGAGGTATGGGGTAGGTTTAAAAATGTAGTGTTAGAGTGTTCAGCAGAAGTTTGTGGTTACAGGAAAGTGGGTGCAGGAGGAAGAGGAGCGATTGGTGGAATGATGATGTAAAGAGAGTAGTAAGGGAGAAAAAGTTAGCATATGAGAAGTTTTTACAAAGTAGAAGTGATGCAAGGAGGGAAGAGTATATGGAGAAAAAGAGAGAGGTTAAGAGAGTGGTGAAGCAATGTAAAAAGAGAGCAAATGAGAGAGTGGGTGAGATGTTATCAACAAATTTTGTTGAAAATAAGAAAAAGTTTTGGAGTGAGATTAACAAGTTAAGAAAGCCTAGAGAACAAATGGATTTGTCAGTTAAAAATAGGAGAGGAGAGTTATTAAATGGAGAGTTAGAGGTATTGGGAAGATGGAGGGAATATTTCGAGGAATTGTTAAATGTTGATGAAGATAGGGAAGCTGTGATTTCGTGTATAGGGCAAGGAGGAATAACATCTTGTAGGAGTGAGGAAGAGCCAGTTGTGAGTGTGGGGGAAGTTCGTGAGGCAGTAGGTAAAATGAAAGGGGGTAAGGCAGCCGGGATTGATGGGATAAAGATAGAAATGTTAAAAGCAGGTGGGGATATAGTTTTGGAGTGGTTGGTGCAATTATTTAATAAATGTATGGAAGAGGGTAAGGTACCTAGGGATTGGCAGAGAGCATGCATAGTTCCTTTGTATAAAGGCAAAGGGGACAAAAGAGAGTGCAAAAATTATAGGGGGATAAGTCTGTTGAGTGTACCTGGTAAAGTGTATGGTAGAGTTATAATTGAAAGAATTAAGAGTAAGACGGAGAATAGGATAGCAGATGAACAAGGAGGCTTTAGGAAAGGTAGGGGGTGTGTGGACCAGGTGTTTACAGTGAAACATATAAGTGAACAGTATTTAGATAAGGCTAAAGAGGTCTTTGTGGCATTTATGGATTTGGAAAAGGCGTATGACAGGGTGGATAGGGGGGCAATGTGGCAGATGTTGCAAGTGTATGGTGTAGGAGGTAGGTTACTGAAAGCAGTGAAGAGTTTTTACGAGGATAGTGAGGCTCAAGTTAGAGTATGTAGGAAAGAGGGAAATTTTTTTCCCAGTAAAAGTAGGCCTTAGACAAGGATGTGTGATGTCACCGTGGTTGTTTAATATATTTATAGATGGGGTTGTAAGAGAAGTAAATGCGAGGGTCTTGGCAAGAGGCGTGGAGTTAAAAGATAAAGAATCACACACAAAGTGGGAGTTGTCACAGCTGCTCTTTGCTGATGACACTGTGCTCTTGGGAGATTCTGAAGAGAAGCTGCAGAGATTGGTGGATGAATTTGGTAGGGTGTGCAAAAGAAGAAAATTAAAGGTGAATACAGGAAAGAGTAAGGTTATGAGGATAACAAAAAGATTAGGTGATGAAAGATTGAATATCAGATTGGAGGGAGAGAGTATGGAGGAGGTGAACGTATTCAGATATTTGGGAGTGGACGTGTCAGCGGATGGGTCTATGAAAGATGAGGTGAATCATAGAATTGATGAGGGAAAAAGAGTGAGTGGTGCACTTAGGAGTCTGTGGAGACAAAGAACTTTGTCCTTGGAGGCAAAGAGGGGAATGTATGAGAGTATAGTTTTACCAACGCTCTTATATGGGTGTGAAGCGTGGGTGATGAATGTTGCAGCGAGGAGAAGGCTGGAGGCAGTGGAGATGTCATGTCTGAGGGCAATGTGTGGTGTGAATATAATGCAGAGAATTCGTAGTTTGGAAGTTAGGAGGAGGTGCGGGATTACCAAAACTGTTGTCCAGAGGGCTGAGGAAGGGTTGTTGAGGTGGTTCGGACATGTAGAGAGAATGGAGCGAAACAGAATGACTTCAAGAGTGTATCAGTCTGTAGTGGAAGGAAGGCGGGGTAGGGTCGGCCTAGGAAGGGTTGGAGGGAGGGGGTAAAGGAGGTTTTGTGTGCGAGGGGCTTGGACTTCCAGCAGGCATGCGTGAGCGTGTTTGATAGGAGTGAATGGAGACAAATGGTTTTTAATACTTGACGTGCTGTTGGAGTGTGAGCAAAGTAACATTTATGAAGGGATTCAGGGAAACCGGCAGGCCGGACTTGAGTCTTGGAGATGGGAAGTACAGTGCCTGCACTCTGAAGGAGGGGTGTTAATGTTGCAGTTTAAAAACTGTAGTGTAAAGCACCCTTCTGGCAAGACAGTGATGGAGTGAATGATGGTGAAAGTTTTTCTTTTTCGGGCCACCCTGCCTTGGTGGGAATCGGCCAGTGTGATAATAAAAAAAAAATAATAATAATAAGTTTACACTAACTTATATTAAGTTAGTAATAGAACTAGGCATTAAAAACACAATAAAAAGTAAAATACAGTACATACACAGTACATTCGTTACTTACCTTAAAATTTTTGTAGTCTTAACGTAGGGCGAGAGGCGAGTAGTATTTCTCTGTAGGAAGTCACGTGTAAGTAGCCCTGGTTCCCCATCCCAGTCTTAATATACAATATTTAAAGCAGCCCAGAGCAATAAAGTACACATACAGTACACTCATTATTTACCTTAAAATGTGTAGTCTTAATGTAGGATGAGAGGCGAGTAGTATTTATTTGTAGGAAGTGAAATGTAGGTAGCTGGTAGATGTAGCTATGTAGTCCACCTGGCTACATAGCTACACCTACCTGCCTACATGATATTTAATGTGGCCCAGAGCCATATTATTACCATCAACATACCTCGTTTCACCAAGTTTAATCATTTCTAACAACTACCTTTAGATGCCATCATAAACAAAGGGGGAAGTAATGAATAATTCATGTTGAGAATTGTAAACAAAAGCAGAGTGTTAAGGGGAGTGACTAGGCCAAATGCAGATTCATACACGTTTTCTCTGGTGCTGGACCAGAAAAAACGTAATGTTTTCCCTTCGCCTGGCTATCACACCTCCATAGCATATAAACATAGCATGTTTATATGCTATGGAATGTGTTTCTTGTATAATTTTGAAGAAAATATCATAGATGAATTAATGAAAAAGTCTATTAACATAAAATAAGACATTTAATGTGACCAAGAATGATTATTATTATGTATTAGTATTATTGTTTGACAGTGATTATGTATGAGTGAGGTGAAAGTGTTGAATGATGATGAAAGTATTTTCTTTCTTTTTGGGTCACCCTGCCTCGATGGGAGACGGCTGACTTGTTGAAAAAAAAAAAAAATTAGTATTATTACTATGGTGTTAAGACTAGAGGAACACTCTTAGTGATTTTAATGTGTACCTGCATGCGAGCACAGTGTGCAAGTATATTTAGGTACAAGTACACATAAGTATAATTAGCAGAGTACATATAAAATATGCAATAACTAAAAAACACCTGAAATTTTGGAAAATTTCCAAACATAATAGGGAGATGTGCTCATGGAGAATGTAAACAAACCGGGTGGGGCACGCCGTATTAGAAAGACTGGGAACCGTATAGAAAGTTTTGATCATAATTTGAAATTGCCGTATTAGCGGAACACCCCGAGGCAAAACGCAGTAAGGCAGGGCCCTACTGTACTATTAAGTATATATGTAAAATTAAAAATATGATAACAGAATTAGAGAGACGCATACAATACACAAATTTTTAACACGACAACCGTCTCCCGCCAAGGCAGGGTGACCAGAAAAATAAGAAACATAAAATTTTCTTCTTTATACATTTAGTAATTTATACAAGAGAAGGGGTTCTAGCCCCTTGCTCCCAACATTTTAGTTATCTCTTACAATATGCATGGCTTACAGAGGAAGGATTCTTCTCCACTTGCTCACAGAGTGGAGAATTTTTATCAGTATAATCTAGTATAGTAATATACTGCAAATCTTATTGACAGAAATCTTGTACTTTTAATAATGGTCCCTGCTTTATCTTTGTTGGTATTCCTTACATGACATTTCACTATTTGCTGAAACCATCTTGTTCCTTCACTTAAGAGGTGCATGGCATGAAATGAACATGCACTGCATTGGTGTCAATATTTTCTCAGCAGTTACAACATCAACCATGAGGATGAATTCCCTTACCCCATTTTACATTGTTGGGTAGTAGAATACTACTTCCAGTAGGATCAAATTTACTCTGTCTCTGGCCTATTATGACTTGGCAAATTAGAAATGGTTATAATGTACTGAATTAATAATAGAGTAATCATTCATAATTATCAAAACTTAAGTACCTAACTAACAAACAAGTTAGATTTCTGGTTTATAACTCAGAGCCTCTTTGATGATAAAAGAAAAGTCAATAGTGCAAATGAGTCACGAGTATCACATTTGCAAGTGCGCACCAGAATTCAGACATTAGTTTCTTTGATTTTTTCTTATGGACCTTGCTCATTGTGTGGCTGGTTGTAACTCTTGTCATTCCTAATTTGACTCGGTTGTTGTGCACTCAGCTCACATACTGAGGGTTTGTGGTTCGATTCCTGGCATGGAAGGAAACACTGGGCATGTTTCCTTACACCTGCTGCCCCTGTTCACCTAGCAGTACCTGGGTGTTAGTAGACTATATTAGGATGCATCCAGGAGGTGGCAGATGAGGTAGGATAACTGCTCTTAGCCTGTAAAATTGATGTGTTAAAAAAGAATGCTGATCATTAAGTACAATACAAAATTCCTTTCCCCACAATGTATACAAGGTATTACTGCACCTTTTACTCACCTCGAACATGGCCTTCTGAAATGAGTTTACCAATTTTACGCTTGGAGACAACAGTATAGTGCATGTTGAGGCGACCATACTCCCACTGGACTGGACAATATATATCCAGGGCATTACATAACCAGTAATAAGATGATCGTCTGAAAGAATAGCTTTGCTTCAGTAGACAAAACTGGAGAGGATTAGGAGAGCAGGTAGATACAAAGTTTTGAGGAAGTAGAGTGATGTATGGATGATGGAATTTAAGGTGGGTTAGTATCATGGAATAGAAATGGGACAAAACAAAAACATGCCAAACAAATGAACAGATTGCTTAATAAAACAAAAAAAGCATCAGACAAAGATAGACCTAACATTCTTAATTGACAAAAGATTGTCACTTGACTATCTCATGAATGAAACACTGTGGTACAAAACTGCCTGGTCATGGACTGCACCGCAGGGGCACTGACCCCTGGAACTCCCTCCAGGTATGCAGATACTGTTCCACTTCAAAATAGTCTTTAGAAATAGGGATGGGGAGATGCTGAGAAATCTGCTCACAATATACATTTGACCAAAACTGGAGTATACATCAGTTGTATGGTGTCCCCACTAGAAAGAACATGTGAACAAAATGGAAAAAGTTCAAAGATGAGCTACAAAATGGCTACCATAACAAAAAAAAAAAATACAAGTTACGAAGAAAGGTCAGTCCCTATTAGACAGTCCCTCACTGGCTGATTGGAAGAAAAGAGGAAATATGATGCACTGTAAGAGCACACAAGATTATAAAGGGATAAAATAAACAGGTAAGGAAAATTTCCAGGTATTACCAGAAAAGGAAACAAGAAGCCACAGTTCTGAACTATGAAGTGCCAAAGGAATACAACATGGAAATATAAACACTTAAGCAGTATAATGTGATCCTTTATTGACACGAGTATCAAACAGGTAGATCTGTTTGTGACTTGATAAAGCCCACTGCGTGGGCGAAATGTTTTCAATAAAGGATCACATTATACTGTTTAAGTGTTTATATTTCCATTGTGTCGGTATTTTATACCATTTATTTCCATCCAGAACGCAACATAAAAGGAATACTTAGTAACTTCTGCTACACTGGCACACTTCCAATACTGCAGCTTTTACATAGGGAGAAATATTGAAAAATAAAAAATCACAATTCAAGTTAGGCCAGAACTGGAATATGCAGCGGTTGTGTGGTGTCCGCATCTAAAAAAAGTAAAAACAGTAAAAGCGGATAGTAATAACCCCCCAAAATAAAAAATGCCTTTTTAGCTAATAATGCACTTGCAAAGCAAAGGCACAAAGACAGACTGGATACTTTATTTAGCCAACTTTTGCTTGCTGATTAAGTTCTTTTTTCAAGTCTTAATAAAACATTCATTTGGCTTTTGTGTCTGTCTTACAACTTTGTTGGTATTTTATATCTATGTGCAAAAATACCTTTGTTGGCTGATAAAAAAAAGAGAAAGATAACACATCAGACAATAAAATTATACAGAAAGGAAGTTAAAAACATTCTTGATACAAACATGAAAAACAATTAGCCTAAGTATAAACCAAAAAATACTTGTGATGAAAGAATACTAGAAAGATTTTCTTCAAAAAGTGGTAGAATACTGGGACGGGATACAAGGGGAGTAATATCATAAGTGCTTCAACTATTGGGATGTTTAAAAAATTATAGGAGGGGTAGGGATATTTGCTGTTTGGAGGGATGTCGAAACTGTTGTATCTGCGTGAACTGGCAAGACAGTGATAGTGTGAATGATGGCGAGTGTTTCTTTCTTGGGTCACCCTGCCTAAGTGGAAGACAGCCAGTGTGTTACCAAAAATTTAAACAGTGAAAAATACTTTAATTCATCCTGCAATATCTTCCTGCAGAGTACAGTACCCTGTCATATAATCATTGAAACATCCACAAAGTATTCTGGTCTTTGTTTAAAAGAAATCTTTTTACGAGTTTCAGATAATTTTTCAGTTCTTATGAGCTCCGGGAAATGGATCACGCCACTTTTATAATGAGGCCGTATTTTCAAATTTACTTTCAAATTAATCTCTATTTTTCAGGAAGCTATTTCTCCAATATGACCATCCCTTAACAGTTTCATTCAGTATTCAATCCCTTGTTTTCACAGTAATACAGTGGACCCCCACATAACGATATTAATCCATTCCCGAGAGCTCATTGTTATGCGAAATTATCGTTATGCGAATGAATTTTCCCCATAAGAAATAATGGAAATCAAATTAATCCGTGCAAGACACCCAAAAGTATGAAAAAAAAATTTTTACCACATGAAATATACATTTTCCTACACACAAAGAGAAGGATACATGCACAATATATATTGTGCATGTACTACTCTACTAAATGAAGAATAAATGACACTTACCTTTATTGAAGATGCAGCAATGACTGATGAGACACTGTGTCCTGGGAGTGCCTTTTCCTCCTGAGTACTGTAGGTCCTGTTTGGCATTTTCTTCCAGAACAGGCCTTATCACACTGTGTATGCCACTACGATTCTTAAATCTCTCAAACCAACCTTTGCTGGCTTTAAATTCACCAATATGAGCACTAATTCCAGGCATTTTTTCCCTGTTCACCTGGGTGTTAGTCGACTGGTGTGGGTTGCATTCTGGGAGACAAGATTAAGGACACCAATGGAAATAAGTTAGACAGTCTTCGATGACATTGACTTTTTTGGGTTATCCTGGGTGGCTAACCCTCTGGGGTTAATTCTTCCTTGGTATTCTCAATAAGCCACACCAACAATGGTGCTACTACAGCAGCAGCAGCAGCTGACAGTGCTACAGCAGCAGCTGACAGTGCTACAGCAGCAGCAGACGGTGCTACAGCAGCAGCAGACGGTGCTACAGCAGCAGTTGACGGTGGTACAGCAGCAGCAGCTGACGGTGCTGCAGCAGCAGCTGACAGTGCTACAGCAGCAGCAGCTGACAGTGCTACAGCAGCAGCAGCAGCTGACAGTGCTACAGCAGCAGCAGCAGCTGACAGTGCTACAGCAGCAGCAGCAGCTGACAGTGCTACAGCAGCAGCAGCTGACAGTGCTACAGCAGCAGCAGCTGACAGTGCTACAGCAGCAGCAGTTGACAGTGCTACAGCAGCAGCAGCTGACAGTGCTACAGCAGCAGCAGACGGTGCTACAGCAGCAGCAGATGGTACTACAGCAGCAGCAGCAGCTGACGGTGGTACAGCAGCAGCAGCAGCTGACGGTGGTACAGCAGCAGCAGCAGCTGATGGTGGTACAGCAGCAGCAGCAGCTGACGGTGGTACAGCAGCAGCAGCAGCTGACGGTGGTACAGCAGCAGCAGCAGCAGCAGCTGACAGTGCTATAGCAGCAGCAGTAGCAGCATCAGCAGTTGACCATGGTACCACAGTATTTCGATAATATTTCTCACCCTTTTTACCGCAGGGTTGGCACTAGAAGCTTTCTTGGGGCCCATGGTCACTTATTTTGCAGATAAAATCACCAAAAACACTGTAATAATACGAAATGTTCCGATTGTACGCTTGGATGTTACCGCGGAGGCTGGCTGGTAAACAATGCCACCGACGAAACATGCGAGGCTGGCTCAGGCTGCACATTAGACGCGTCTCGGACGAATAGCGTTGAGCGGGTTTTTTAGCGGTATGCGAGGCAAAATCTTAGCGATAAAATGTATCGGTATGCGGATTTAACATTATGTGATGCCAATGGTATGAGGGGTCCACTGTACTTAACCTTCATACATTAACCCTTAAACTGTCCAAACGTCGATCTACGTTTACGTGCATAGCACTCCGACCTTGATTTTCTCCATTTGAAAACATGTAAAAAAACATAGATCTACGTTCGGAGCGATACGCGAGCGAACATAGATCTACGTTTGGACAGTTTAAGGGTTAAGCTACATATTCTGAAATCATCTTTCATTTCATTTATACAGCTATATAGAGGCTTCCTATTTCCCTTTTCTAATTCTGATGAATTAAGTTTTGTTAATTACACCAGCTGTCTCCTGCTGAGGTATATTGATTTAATTCACTTTCTGTGTATATCCAACAGAAAGAGAACAGAAACTGTACAATATAACAAATAAACCATGTACTACTATATATACAGTGATCTTGCATAATACAACATACCTTGCCTGGAACTCTTTTGTACACAGAGAGTGAGTAATATGTTCAATGGAGTCACAAAGACAATGAGTGTAGTCGTAGGTGGGATAGATGCACCATTCATCACCTGTACAGTGGTGAGGTACAAATTTAATCCGGTAAGCAACGGGATCAGCTTTCCCTTCCTCCAAGATTGTTTTGAGTCGTAATGTTGCTTCTCCTTCATCAAATTTACCATGCTTCATGTCCTAGTAAATGAAGAAAACAATTAGTATGCATTGATTTTCTTACTTGTATAATTTAAGCTATAAATTGTTGATTAGCACCCCCCCCCCAAAAATTTTTTTTTAACACACTGGCTATCTCCCACCGAGGCAGCGTTAACCAAAAGAGAAAAACACTTTCACCATCAATCACACAATCACTGTCTGTGCAGAGATGCCCATATATGACAGTTCAGATGTCACTCCAAACATCCAAGAATGATGAGAAAGTCACAATACTCTGGCTAGAACAATTTACAATTAACCAACAATACAAAAAGGAACTTTTATACAATACTTAGTATAAAAGACCATAATAAAGACAAGAATAATTTTTTTAACATGTTGGACATCTCCCACCAAGGCAGGGTGACCTGAAAAAGAAACACTATCACTGTCTTGCCAGAAGCATGCAGATACAACAGTTCAGATGTCCCTGAAAATAACAAATATCCCAAACCCTTCCTTTAGAGTGCAGGCACTGTACTTTCCACCTAAAAGAAAAACTGAAAACCTGTTTGAGGTTCTCTCTCCAAATTAAAGAATAAATAAATTGTGGAACAGGTGGGGTTCGAACCAATGTCAAACAAGTCCTAAAACTATCAGGCCAGTGTGTTAACCACTGGGCCAACTGACTCTAATGACTCACTTGCCATGAGTTCAAACCCCACCCATTTCTTGATTTGTTTGCAATCATGTTTTACAATTTCACGAGTCAGTTTAATGAAAGGATCACTGTAAACAGCCGAGTCTGAGTGAGCTCTTTCCAAGTCTTGGCATAACAAATTTATGCTTTGTTATGTGGTCATCTCTTTTTTTGGGTCACCTTGCCTTTGTGGGACACAGCCAGTGTGAAAAAAATGTGTACAGTAACAAGAAGACAGTACAAACTTAAACTACTCAAGGCTGCATAACTAATATATTACCTCAAACAACTGGAGAGATTCATGAACAGGTCTATCCCTCCAGGGAGAAGGTGGAGCATCATATCCCCGTACTTCTTCTGGCTTCTGATGACAAACATATGCCAAACCTTTCTTGATAAGCACAATCGCCCACTCATACAATTGTTGGAAGTAATCTGACGAATGTGTTATCTTGTATGGTTTGTAACCTGGAAAAAAAAGTCCACAACCCTCATAATAATAATAATAATAATAATAATAATAATAATAGTAAATTTTTATTTCAACAAGTACATGGTACAACTAGTTGACATCAATAACACACTATATAGAAAGTCCCTAGATATGCAGAACATTATGAGCAACTTAGTTTAATTTTGTCCCCAGGAGGCAACCTACACCAGTTGGCTAACACCCAGGTACCTACTAGGTGAGCAGGGATAGTAGGTGTCTTAAGGGAACATGCCTGACATTTCCACCCATACCGGGGATTGAACCATGGACACTCAATATGCGAGTTGAGTGCACTACCAACCGAGCTACGGGACACCTAACCTTGCTCGACAAAACAATGTAGCTCTTGCTACAACAAACCATGGTGAGCCATATCTAATTTCAACATTATTATTGTTATACAAAATGTAGCTTTCACTGGGCAACAAAATACTGTCATACATTCAATAAAACAACAGATTAAATTACAATAATTCATAATAACTGTGCAAATAAATCTTGTTTACTCTTCTATCTGCTTTCCTGAACATTTGCCACTGACATACACAATAGTATAAATTATATTCTAGACTCACCGAGCCACTCAACCATCTTCCTAATTCCCACAAAAAATTTCTCCTCTTCCTTCTCCGGGTTGGTGTCATCGTAACGGAGAAAGCAAACTCCACTGTTGGCTGCTGCATACCCAAAGTTGATGTTGATAGCTTTTGCATGGCCAATATGCAGAATACCATTGGGCTCTGGAGGAAAGCGGGTGCGTACCTGGAAGATAACACCTGAACTGTCTTAAAAGAAACAATTTAATGTCTCAATTTGCATCAATTGTACACAGGAGGCCCCTGTTTATATGGCTCTAGGGTTTGTGACCCCAATGATAAGTGAAAATTACTGGTAGATGGAAAAGAGCAGTTCTGTAAATTACTGATGTTAAACTAACAAAATCTGATGACAAATGGTGTCTCACATACTTATATCAAGCAATATTGGCATAATAGAAATGCAATATATACATATGATCAGCGAGATGATTGAAGAGGACAAATGGAAAACACACATACACATATACATAAGTAGAGAATATCAGTAAAGTGCAAGCAAGGGGCTAATAACCCTTTCTCCTGCTTAGATTGCTAAATTTAAAAAGAAAAACTTTTGTTTTTTCTCTTCATGTCACCCTGCCTTCAGCCTTGATGAGATATGGCCAGTGCATTAGAAAAAAAATCAGTGAAGTACTAAAAAATCGAACCAAAAGAGGACTCACAGCGGGCATGAGCATGTTAGATAGGAGTGAATGGAGACGAATTGTGTTTGGGACCTGACGAGCTGTTGGAGTGTGAGCAGGGTAATATTTTGTGAAAGGATTCAGGAAAACCGGTTAGCTGGACTCGAGTCCTAGAAATGGGAAGTACAATGCCTGTACTTTAAAGAAGGGGTTTAGACCATCTGAGTGCCTCTGTGAAGACAGTGATTATGTATGAGGGATGGTGAAAGTGTTGAATGATGAAATTTTTTCTTTCTTTTTGGGGTTTTCTTTCTTTTTGGGTCACCCTGCCTCGGTGGAAAATGGCCGACATGTTAAAAAAAAAATATATTTAGAAAGATTAGAGGAAGCACTGGTGTGGCAGGGCAGTTGTAGAAAAGTGGAAAAATTGTCTAGTGGTGGCACTTAAGTGAATTCCTTAGTTAGCTTTAAAAATATGCTCAATAGCTGCACGAGTAATAGTGGACGGATGACAGAAGGATCTACCTATCATAGGCCAATAGGCCCATTGCAGAGGTATACTTTATTTCTTACTAGTATGTTCTTATTTTGAGTACGGAATAAAGTTTAAAGGCATCTGCACATTATACTGACTGAAAATTAAATTACTCTTAACCCTTAAACTGTCCAAACGTAGATCTAAGTTTCTTCAACATTTGAATCTAAAAAAAGCGTAGATCTTTTTTTTTTTTACATTTGAAGACGTGTAAAAAAAACTTTGATAAATGTTTTTTGTTTTTTTTGTTATATTTTAAAGATTGGATATCAGATTGGAGGGAGAGAGTATGGAGGAGGTGAATGTATTCAGATATTTGGGAGTGGACGTGTCAGCAGATGGGTCTATGAAAGATGAGATGAATCATAGAATTGATGAGGGGAAAAGAGAGTGGTACACTTAGGAGTCTGTGGAGACAAAGAACTTTGTCCTTGGAGGCAAAGAGGGGAATGTATGAGAGTATAGTTTTACCAACGCTCTTATATGGGTGTGAAGCATGGGTGATGAATGTTGCAGCGAGGAGAAGGCTGGAGGCAGTGGAGATGTCATGTCTGAGGGCAATGTGTGGTGTGAATATAATGCAGAGAATTCGTAGTTTGGAAGTTAGGAGGAGGTGCAGGATTACCAAAACTGTTGTCCAGAGGGCTGAGGAAGGGTTGTTGAGGTGGTTCGGACATGTAGAGAGAATGGAGCAAAACAGAGTGACTTCAAGAGTGTATCAGTCTGTAGTGGAAGGAAGGCGGGGTAGAGGTCGGCCTAGGAAAGGCTGGAGGGAGGGGGTAAAGGAGGTTTTGTGTGCGAGGGGCTTGGACTTCCAGCAGGCATGCGTGAGCGTGTTTGATAGGAGTGAATGGAGACACATGTTTTTAATACTTGACGTGCTGTTGGAATGTGAGCAAAGTAACATTTATGAAGGGGGTTCAGGGAAACCGGCAGGCTGGACTTGAGTCCTGGAGATGGGAAGTACAGTGCCTGCACTCTGAAGGAGGGGTGTTAATGTTGCAGTTTAAAAACTGTAGTGTAAAGCACCCTTCTGGCAAGACAGTGATGGAGTGAATGATGGTGAAAGTTTTTCTTTTTCGGGCCACCCTGCCTTGGTGGGAATCGGCCAGTGTGATAAAAAAAAAAATGAAAATATGTAAAAAAACGTAGATCTACTTTTGGAGCACTACGCATGTGAACGTAAATTTGTTTGGACAGTTTGAGGGTTAAACAGTAAAAAATCTGCTACTTCAATGTCTAACTAGGACAAAATTTTACAAACTTTGAAAAGAAAATACACAAGCTGAATATAACTGATGCTGGAGGATTAGGGTTGAGGAGAAGAGTGGTGGGTCTTGTAACAAATTTTATGTCAAGACTGACTGACTTAAATTCATGTCCTTTGAGAGAAAAAAAGACTGGAACCATTTTAAAAGCAGCATCTAGAGTGGTGGCATTTAACCTGGGGTATTTACCTTCCCTAGGAAGGGGAAGGAGTAATTACAGTTTGTTATAAAAGGAATTTCACTGAACTTTTCAAATAAGCTTTTAAAAATACTGAAATATATTATAAATCTAAGTAAAAATTTGTTTTTTTCTTTAAACTTATCAGCCATTTCTCAGTGAGGCAGGATGACCTGAAAAAGAAGAAACACTAAAATGTAATAAAATGTAATTAGTTTTGTTAAGTAGCTCTGAAGGTAAACCAAAACCAAAATGGTTAAATACAACCTCAGCACTAATTCTGAGTGTGAAACACCAATGAAAAATAATATAAAGATAACAGAAAATCATCTGGCAGTGAGGAGACATAGACATTGATACCTGTCCACCAGTGATCTCAAGATGTTCCTTTAACAGTCGATGGGTGTTCTCGGTTATAACATATCCTTCAGTCTTATGATTGTCCCCAGGAGCATGAAACGTGACTGTCTTCAGGAACTCCGTCATGGTCACACACTGCTTCTCTGTGAATCACAAAAGAAACAAACTCAGAACATCACCTTTTTTTAGAACTATGAATCTACATTTCAAGTGTTACAAATCGGACTTGGTGAAGTCCAATCATGGACAAGATATATTGATACTAATAAAAATTTCAATACAAGTATATAGAGAAAAAGTATAAAGAGAAAGACTATATAGTATACTACAGTCTTTCTCACCAAGTGTCACCTATGCCTGATTTTATATAACAAAGTCTAAGATCATTACCTCTTAACATTGCAGAGTGGACTATCAAAAGAAACAGCAATATATATTTTAATACAGTATTTAAACATTTACTTATATGGATAACTAAAGTGTAATGAACACTTGGCAATGCTCAATAATAACCCACGTGGAGATAGAAACTCGGAAGATTAACTTGATCTGTATATTTCGACCCCTTTCTGGGATCTTCCAGCAGATGAAGTGGATCCCAGAAGCGGACTGAAATATACTATCTTATCACTGTCTTACCAGAAGCCCATAAATGCTTCAGTTTAGATGCCTTCCTAATTTTTTTTAACACATCGGCCATTTCCCACCAAGGCAGCGTGACTCAAAGAAATAAACTTCCATCATCATTCAACACTTTCACCATCACTCATACATAATCACAGTCTTTGCAGAGGCCCTCAGATATGACAGTTTACATGTCCTTCCAAACTGCCAATAACACATACTCCTCCTTTAAAGTGCAGGCATTGTACTTCTCACTTCCAGGACTCAAGTCTGGCTAACCAGTTTCCCTGTATCCCTTCTGTTTGTCTTATTGTTATCTCTTACTGTATACTGGACCATATAGCAGTAATATGAAAGCTCCTAATGAACAAACAAGTATATAATACAACAGTGAATGAATCTCAAAGATTCATTCAACACGCAAGTGCATCTAAGTAATTCAAGAAAGTCACTATGTACAACATATTCCCCTCAATAACTAAAAAAAAAAAAAAAGAGAAGATGGATGATATTCAATCTAAGATATCCAAGAAAGCCAATTAGTGTGCATATTTCCATGTATAGGTGTAGACAGCAACTACTCAGAGGTGAACAGGGCAAGCCAAGTGAGTGTAAAACAAGCCTGATTTTTTACATGATGTAGGATGCTGATCCTTTGTCTGTCATAAATATGCAAGATACAGGCATGTCTCTACTTCTACTTACACTTAGGTCACACTACACATAACAATGTACCATTAAATTAATACCAACTCATCTGAGTTTTCTTTGATTTAATCTTAATAGTTATCTGTTTATTAATTTTCTTTATATATCCCCTGGGGAGTGAATAAGAATCTTTCCTCCGTAAGCTCTGGGTTGTAAAAGTCAACTAAAATGCGTAACAATGGGCTAGTAACCCTTTTCGTAAAGATACAAAAAGAATAATGAAGAAAAATTGTCAAGTGGAAGTCTGAATGTGCGTGGATGTTGGCAGTGATAAGAAAGAGATGATTGTGATGATGAATGATAGATAGCTGGATGTCCTGGCTTTAAGTGAACAAACTGAAATGGTGGCAGAGTTCAGTGGACGAGAAAAATGGGATTAGTCCTCAGGGGTTTCAAATTAGTAGTTAGAGCTAAAGACAGGAGTAGCAATAATGTTGAAGGATACTATGGCGAGGAAAAGAGGACTTACATTATTAATTCAGATTATGTGGATAATAAAGATTGGTGTGAAAATGGCTATTTAAGCCTGTGTATGCACCTGAGAAGAGAGAAGTGTAGAGGAAGAGAGATTTTGGAATGTATAGTGAAGCGTGAGGGAGTTTGACAAGTGTGATGAGTAATGTGGTTGGGGATTTTAAGACTAAAGTGGTAAATATGTTTAATGGAGATGTAGGTAAATTGGGGTGCCAAGGGTAAATGTAAATCTGGGAGCCCTTTAATCATGAGCTATAGGAAAGACTTTGGTAAAAGTAATCCATATAGAAAAAGGGATAAAATTACAAGCTAATACACGTCAACTGAAAGTTAGTTAATTAGATTAATTATAGAAAGTTATGGTCAACACCAGATGTACATGCTTTACTAGAGGGCAACTGTTATTAAGACATATAGTATAGCTACAGTTTTAGATAAGAGGTGACTGGGAAAAGAAAAGTTGCCAACAAGTCAAAACAGTTAATGCATAAAATAAAATAATCTTCTTGATGATAAATAAGCGTCTGATTGGGAAAGCTAGTGCAAAATGAGCTAGGGGGGGATGAAGGTTGAAAATAGATTTTGAAGATGCAGTTTAGACTGTAGATCACCAAGTTTGTCGGATATAGAGGGTGGGGCAGGAGAAAAAGGAGTGATTGGTGGAAATGATGAAGTAAAGGGTGTGATAAAAGAGAAAAAGGTAGCTTATGAGAGAGTTTTTACAAAGCAGAAGTGTTATAAGAGAGAGCAGAGTATATGGAGAGTAAAAGAAAGGTAAAAGAGAGTGGTGAGAGGTGCAAAAGGAGAGCAGATGATAGATGTGGGAGAGGCACTGTCAAGAAATTTTATGAAAATAAGAAAAAATTTTGGAGTGAGTTAAACAAGTTTAAAAAGCCTAGGGAAAATATGGATTTGTCAGTTAAAAACAGAGTAGGGGAGTTAGTAGATGGGGAGATGGAGGTATTGGTAGATGGCTGAGAATATTTGAGGAACTTTTAAATGTTAAGGAAGAAACAGAAGGCAGTAATTTCATGCACTGGGTCAGGGAGGTATACCATCTTTTAGGAGTGAAGAAGAGCAGAATGTAAGTGTGGGGGAGGTACGTGAGGCATTAACGTAAAATGAAAGGGGTAAAGCAGCTGGAACTGATGGGATCATGACAGAAATGTTAAAAGCAGGGGGGATATAGTGTTGGTGAGTGGTTGGTACTTTTGTTTAATAAATGTATGAAAGAGGGGAAGGTACTAGGGATTGGCAGGAGCATGTATAGTCCCTTTATATAAAGGGAAAGGGGACCAAAAGAGACTGTAAAAATTATAGAGGAATAAGCTTAACGAGTATACCAGGAAAGTGTACGTTAGGGTATTATTGAAAGAATTAGAGGTAAGACAGAATGTAGGATTGCGGATGAGCAAGAGGTTTTAGAGTGGGTAGGGATGTGTAGATCAGGTGTTTACATTGAAGCATATATGAACAGTATTTAGATAAAGATAGGGAAGTTTTTAATTGCATTTATGGATTTAGAAAGGCATATGATAGAGTGGATAGAGGAGCAATGTGGCAGATGTTGCAAGTATATGGAATAGGTGGTAAGTTATTAAATTGCTGTAAAGAGTTTTTATGAGGATAGTGAGGCTCAGGTTAGAGGTGTGTAGAAGAGAGGGAGACTAACTTCCCGGTAAAAGTGGTCTTAGACAGGATGTGTAATGTCACCATGGTTGTTTAATATTTATAGATGGGGTTGTAAAGAAGTAAATGCTTAGGGTGTTTGGAGAGGGGTGGGATTAAATTATGGGGAATCAAATTCAAAATGGGAATTGACACAGTTACTTTTTGCTGATGATACTGTGCTTATGGGAGATTCTAAAGAAAAAATTGCAAAGGTTAGTGGATTGAGTTTGGGAAGTGTGTAAAGGTAGAAAGTTGAAAAGTGAACATAGAAAGAGTAAGGTGATGAGGGTGTTCAAATGATTTAGATAAAGAAAAATTGGATATCAAATTGGGGAGAGGAGTATGGAAGAAGTGAATGTTTTCAGATACTTGGAGTTGACGTGTCGGCGGATGGATTTATGAAGGATGAGGTTAATCATAGAATTGATGAGGGAAAAAAAAAATGAAGAGTGGGGTGCGTTGAGGTATATGTGGAGTCAAAAAACGTTATCTATGGAGGCAAAGAAGGGAATGTATGAAAGTATAGTAGTACCAACACTCTTATAGGGTGTGAAGCTTGGGTGGTAAATGCTAGCAGCGAGGAGACGGTTGGAGGCAGCGGAGATGTCCTGTTTAAGGGCAATGTGTGGTGTAAATATTATGCAGAAATTCGGAGTGTGGAAATTAGGAGAAGGTGTTGTGGAGTTAATAAAAGTATTAGTCAGAGGGCAGAAGAGGGGTTGTTGAGGTGGTTTGGTCATTTTAGAGAGAATGGATCACAGTAGAATGACATGGAAAGCATATAAATCTATAGGGGAAGGAAGGCGGGGGTAGGGGTCGTCCTCGAAAGGGTTGGATGAGAGGGGGTAAAGGAGGTTTTGTGGGTAAGGGGCTTGGACTTCCAGCAAGTGTGCGTGAGCGTGTTAGATAGGAGTGAATGGAGACGAATGGTACTTGGGACCTGACGATCTGTTGGAGTTGTGAGCAGGGTAATATTTAGTGAAGGGATTCAGGGAAACCGGTTATTTTCATATAGTCGGACTTGAGTCCTGGAAATGGGAAGTACAATGCCTGCACTTTAAAGGAGGGGTTTGGGATATTGGCAGTTTGGAGGGATATGTTGTGTATCTTTATATGTTTATGCTTCTAGACTGTTGTATTCTGAGCACCTCTGCAAAAACAGTGATAATGTGCGAGTGTGGTGAAAGTGTTGAATGATGATGAAAGTATTTTCTTTTTGGGGATTTTCTTTCTTTTTTGGGTCACCCTGCCTCGGTGGGAGACGGCCGACTTGTTGAAAAAAAAAAAAAAAAAAAAAAAAAAATTTCCATTGGAATACCTACTTACTACTAGGTGAACAGGGGCAACAGATGTAAGGATACATGCCTAACATTTCCACTCATCTCAGGATCAATCCTAGATTCTTTAATTCTGAGTCGGAGGAGCTATCATACATATAACTCAAACACATACTCTAAATAACAATCCTCTGGAAAAAATACCAAACCCATCATGGACAGTAATGATAAAACAAATAATTATACAGTATACTTTATATATCCCCACATGCTTAAGCTTACCCAAAATGCTCTGGGCTTTCAACATGTTCTCAAGTGTCACCCATTTCTATAAAAACAATGCATCATTTGAAATAAATTTGTATTGTATTGTAATGTGTATGGCCAGTTACTAGAGAGAATCTATGATGTGCACTATATATACTGGCTCCCTCACTCTTAATGTGACTTATAAATGGTCCAAGTCAGACCAAAACATCATCATAAGCTTCTCTCTTCTATGTGCGGGTTATTTGTGTATGAATCAAATGTACAGTGTTACAATATTATGGCTCACCTGGCTGCTGCACTGGCAACACTGCACACACTTCTCCCTTCTCTCTCTTGTCTGATTTTGTTTTGACTGGCTTAACTAAATCTTCTTCTCTCTTTGGGCCCAAGAGTGTCAAAAGTTGCAGATCTATCTCCTCTTTGACTTTACGACTGTCAGCCCACTGAAGGGATGCCCGGACCTGGCCCATGAGTGGCCCTGTGTTGTATCGATACCTGAGAACAGAACAAAATGCATTATGTCACTTCAATGGAATTGTCTGGATTCAAATGCACAAAAAGAGAATTATCATCCCTGCCCTTTAATCCACTGCACTAAGGGCTGGTAATCCCAGACCATGGGTTAAAATTCCAATCACTCAACTGAATTGTTACATTAGTTAATTATGAATTTCAAACACACACTGTACTGCATTCACTGAAGGCTACTGTTATCTAATGAACCATCTGTAACAGACAGTTTTTACCCAAAATGCACTGAAGAATCCCTGAAAAATTTCTCACATTCTAAACCATTACTGCATAAAATAAAATATATCATTCTTTTATATAAATTAAGCTCTGGATGTGGGAAATACAATGCATACACTCTGAGGGATGAGTTGAAACATAGATTTGAAGAGCACTTTGACCTAGTAGATCACCATATTCTTCACACTAAAACAAATACAGTACAACCCAAATAAGAACACCCGAGGTAAGACTAACAAAATTACAAATTATTAACATAAAGAAAACACACAATATGAGCGATGGCAGGATGAGGGAGGATTTTGCAGTTCAGAGGGTCAGCTGAATTACCCAACTGAATTAATTGTAATATCTGTGAACTTCTGTTAAGACAGCTACAGAATGATTAATGGTGAAACAATTTCTTTTATTGGGTCACCCTATCCTGATTTCCCATTTTCATTGTAGTTTATGCATAGTATATAGTACTACAGATTTTTGGGGGGAGGTCTTCTAGGAACCCAGTAAATACAAAAAACTCCAAGTCCTAAAAAGTTTAGACTGATGATACAAAATTAAATTTGTTTTAGATAAAGATATAAAAAAAATCCCATTCTGTGATTTGACTGCAATTGTGTTATTACAATTTCATGAGTCATGAAGGTAAGGCTGGACACACATTGCAGATAGGGAAAACACAATGCCTGCACTATGAAGGATAGACAGGGATGTTGCAATTCAGTGGAACACTGGAATTATGTCTGTGCTCTACCGGAAAGAAAGCTTAGGAGTGAGTATTTAACCCTTTGAGGGTAGACAGGCCCTCTCCGAGACTCGTTCTCAGGGTCGGCCAAATTAAAAAAAAAAAAAAAAAAAAAATTCTTATGAAAAGATACGAGAATCTTTTCCAGATCATAATGACACCAAAAATATGAAATTTGATGGAAAACTTACGGAATTATGCTCTTGCGAAGTTAGCGGTCTCGGCGATGTTTACGGAGCGGCGATTTTGCCCACTTTGAGCCCCATTTTCAGCCAGTTCCACTGTACTAGTCGACAAAAAACATGAATATTTCGCTAGAACTCCATATTTTCTATTGAATGAGTGCAAGAAACCACCCATTTACCAATTTCAACTATCCAGTTCAGTGGTCAGAATTTAGCAATTTTGCCAATTTCACACAAATTTCAAAAGATGCCAATTTCCGAATAGGGTCCAGAACAAACAAGAAATACATTCCTGGTACTAAAATGACATTTCCTCTGTTCATTAGTCACGTCTCAAGGCCCCTCTTACATTCTTTGCTTTCCACTTTGAATTTTTATTCTCACAAAAAATGGAAGATTTACTGTTATGCAGACTACTGCATTAGTGTAAAAAATGGTATGAATCATATTGGCGCACTTGCAAAAGAATATTAGACTCACCAGTTGACGTGTATTGGACGCTTGGCATGATTTGTTTACTTTTGAACTTTGGTAAAAATCGAACATTTCTGCTACTTTGAGCTCAATTTCAAGGTACTTTTCATTGTAAAACCAGTCAAAATCATCTCAATTTCTATGATATGCCTTCCATTCTACAAAATGAGACCAAGAAAACTAGAATACAACAATAAATACCATACGAAAATACAGTGCAAAGTCGCTGTTTTATTCCAAAAAAAACGGTCAAAGTTTTTTTTTCTCATTATGCACTGTGTGCTGCAGGATTTTTTTTATACCGTGCACACTGACCACATAGACCCATTCTTTCATATGGAGGCCTACCAGCTTTCTCCCACTAGATTTGAGGGCGCTAGAATTTAGGCGTACTAGTACGTCAAAAACCCTGGGTCGGAAGCCGTACTAGTACGTCCGAAACCCTCAAAGGGTTAACATATAAATAATACAAAATGAAATATTTATTTCCCAAGAAGATACATTTATGTTACTGAGACTCTTACATCTGAAGTTAGTGAACTTACAAGGAAGAGCCCAGTCTTGCAAAGCATTAAGGGTAGACTAAAACAAGAACTCACAATTACTTGACACCGATTAGTTGAAGGTAGACTGGGTGAACAATGAGTTTAATATAACCAGGTTGTCAGCAGATTAACAAATAAAAGAATTGTTTTAAGTAACACAACACTATCTATTTAAAACAACAATGTTAATATGAAAGAACAGTTACACAATGCATTAACAATTTGAGCAGTAAAAATTCTTTCGAGGATGGAGAATTTGACTTAAGTTTTTAGAGATGGAAATTTAGCAAAGACAAAAAGTGCCTAGATACAAGTATTAATAAGAATATGAAGGAAGTACATAGGTGGAATATATTTTACTACAACATTTCTCACCTTTGTTTTAGAATGGCTTCCTTCTGTTTGCTGATGACAAGTGCCACTCCAGCTTCTATTTCATCCTGAGACACCTCTATCCCCACACCGCATGCTTTTCCAAATGCAGCTGTGTCAATATCACCCATGGCATGGTCCTATGAAAAGTGGGATACATAATATTTCTCACTGAAAGCTGATATTTAGACTAATCAAGCAATTAGCACACAATGTTAGCACCACAGTTCCCTTGATCATGCACCGACACCAAACCCATTTCTGAATATCACAAAAATTTATGAATAGAGCCTTATCCATTCTTTTATCTGCTCTTCTTCTGACTATTACTTCTTAACCATGTCAAAAAAAAATACTAATAATTAATTACCTGGATAAACTTAATTGCTGCTGTAAGTTTGGCTTCTTGATTTATACGACCATCTGCCACGTAATCCACTAAAAATGGAAGACAACTGTGAAACTGCCGTGGAAGCTTGGTACCGAGGTTATAGAGCAAATTACCAACACTTTTGGTCAGCTCACCTTTTGCACGAGCCTGCATGATCGTATAAAAAAATTAAGAACAACATTATATACATGTAAATGAACTTTATACACATCAGAGAAGTATGCAAAATAAGAATACAGTGGATGGTGCCTCAATAGATCACAGTAATCAAATTTTTCAATAACTCAATAAAAAAAGAAGGACCTCATAAACGCTGCCATAGAGAGAATAAAAAAAAAAGAGTGCACATGCATGCGCATGCACGCACGCACACACATATGCACATGCACACACACACGCACACACACAAGTGCTAAACAAAAAATAATTCCACAACTTGCTGCAACACAAGTGCTAATTAAATCTACATAATCAGTTATATGTTAAGGATGGCAAAACTGTAGCTAAAACCCCAAGTTTGCATAACAGGAATATACAGTATGAAAGAGCTAACTTAACATATTTAAATAATTCAACAAATTCAATTCAACCCAATCTTTCACACCAATTGCATTATTCCACTTATAAACAACAATAGTGTACCTTGCAAAAACTCCAAATGCATTCTTAACCTGTACATTGCATAAAGCAGCATCCAGGTTTTATTGACAACTCAATAAAACCTGGCCATCTGTTTGAGTATCATTGTTTGATATAAATACACTACTCTTAATCTATTCAATACTCAACTTTCTCCACACTAGCCTGTTATTATATTACCGTGTATTATATATTATCCTCTTTAATATATAGATGAGGTTCAGCTCTGGTTGCAACTGAGTGAACTTAAACCCTCAAAGAAGTAAATAAAATGGTTACAGGGAGAGATATTGAGATATTTACTCAAGGTTAATTAAGTTTATTCAGGTACAGGTACACAAATACAATTACATAAATTATCATACATAGCAACATATGTGTAGATTACCTAGGAAAACCCATCAAGGAACCTTCCTTAAGGGGGATTACAAGATGAAATTCCTTGGGATCAAGAACCCATCATTGGCATCAAGGCACCATTCTTGAAGATTTTTATGGGGAAGAGCTAAACCCACAGGGATTATGCAGCACCTGTGGGGTGGATGGAAGGCATTGAGGCTCAATTCAGGGAACTGGAGGATAGATCCAATTCCTTAGATCAAGAGCCCCTCACCAGTATCAAGGAACCTCCCTTGAGGGGTCTATTCTTGAAGATCAAAACTTCTTGGATTAAGAGCCCATAATCAAAAATCACCTATTAAGGGACTAACAATATGAAACTCCTAGGATCAAGAGCCTTTCACTGGCACCAAAGCACCTTTCTGGAGGAAACATGAAATCCTGGGATCAAGAACCCCTCACCATCAAGGCACCTCCCAGAAAATACACGAGATGAGCTGCCCTGGATCAAAAGCCCTTCACCATCAACTCACCTTCCCTTAAAACATAAAAAAAAAAACCCTGGATCAAGAACCCTTCCCCCCCCACTGACCGGCGTCAGCCTCACCTGGTCAGCAATGGAGGTCAGGAGGGCCGTCAGCGCCTCATTCTTCAGCGTCTCCTTCACCTTCTGCTCTGAGAGACCCAGCAAACTCAACTTCTCAGCTGTCTCCATCATATGTGTCACCATGTGTATCACCATATGTGTCAGGAAGCGTGTTGCATCAGCTGACACATGGACCTCACTGAGGTAAATAACTAGATGGAAGACACACTGTGTGTTATATATCCCTCTGTCATGTATCTGCTGCCATCTAGCGTGTGGATACTCAAGCCAGGATCCACCTACCTGTATCCCTGGCAGGTTACATCAGCAGTTAAGATAAGATAAGATTTCGTTCGGATTTTTAACCCCGGAGGGTTAGCCACCCAGGATAACCCAAGAAAGTCAGTGCGTCATCGAGGACTGTCTAACTTATTTCCATTGGGGTCCTTAATCTTGTCCCCCAGGATGCGACCCACACCAGTCGACTAACACCCAGGTACCTATTTGCTGCTAGGTGAACAGGACAACAGGTGTAAGGAAACGTGTCGAAATGTTTCCACCCGCCGGGAATCGAACCCGGGCCCTCCGTGTGTGAAGCGGGAGCTTTAGCCACCAGGCCACACAGTTACGTAGATTATCATACATAGCAACATATGTGTAGAGAACCTAGGATAACAAAACAAAAAGTCAAAGTGACTTATTTCCATTGGGGTCATATAGGACCCCAATGTCACTACTACCAGACTTTGGCTGGAGTACAAGTATCTCTGGGAAGTCACATCAGCAGTCAATGTAGACCAGATGTCACTACTACCAGGCTCTGTCTGGACTACAAGTATCTCTAGGAGGTTACATCAGCAGTTAATGTAGAATAATACACGTGTATCAGTCTGCATTATAATATCAGTACTACCAGGCTTCAGCTGGACTACAAGTATCTCTAGGAGGTTACATCAGCAGTCAATGTAGACTGGATGCCACTACTATCAGACTTCAGCTGAGCTACAAGTATCTCTGAGAGGTTACAACACCAGGTGATGTAGAATGGATGTCACCACTATCAGGCTCTGGCTTTATTATAAATATCTCTGAGAAGTTGCATCAGGTTTACCAGCTGTTGTAGATATGACAAAGTGTAAATTCTTGCGTTATTATGTGCTGAAATGCGATAAAATTAATGAATTCAGAGACAATTCATTCGCAGATATCCAGGATATGTTAAAATATTTTATCAGCAGTGACCTTACCAACCAGTAATGAAAAAAAAAATACCTTGACAATGCACTGATTGGGAAGTTGCAAGTATCTCACCCCTCAAGGAAGGTTCCTTGATGTTGGTGAGGGGCTCTTGACTTAGGGAACTGGATCTGTGCTCCAGTTCCCCGAATTAAGCCTGAATGCCTTCCACATCCCCCCCAGGCGCTGTATAATCCTCCGGGTTTAGCGCTTCCCCTTGATTATAATAATAATGCAAGTATCTCAGGGAGGAGGTTGTGTCATCATCAGGAAACCCAACGTAACTCAACCTCAGGCCCAATGTAGCCTAACCTTAGAAAACCTAATGTAACCCAACCTCAGGAAACCCAACCTCTGGAAACCCAACCTCTGGAAACCCAACCTCTGGAAACCCAACCTCTGGAAACCCAACCTCAGGAAACCCAACCTCTGGAAACCCAACCTCTGGAAACCCAACCTCAGGAAACCCAACCTCTGGAAACCCAACCTCAGGAAACCCAACTTCTGGAAACGGAAACCCAACCTTTAGAAGCTCAATGTAACCCAACCTCTGGAAATCCAACCTTAGAAAACCCAGCATAACCCAACCTTAAGAAACCCAGCGTAACCCAACCTCAGAATACCCAACGTAACCCACCCCCAGGTACAGGTCCACATAAATACAGCTACATATATTATTTATTTATTTATTTATTTCCAATTTGAGCACACATACAGAGGTACAAAAAAAATACAGATAAGAGCAGCATGCCAAAGCCACTTATACTATGCATAGCATTACGGGCTGGCTTAAAATTAACTTAAGATTAACTAAGCAATGATGAAATCAGTGATAAAACATTAATGTAAACAGATTACTATAAAGCACAAGTGAGTATTACAAAGACAGGCCTGGTGGCTAAAGAACTGCAAGAAGCCCCTATCACGAGCCTTTTCCATCCTATGGAGAGGGAGCATGGACACGGGGGTCGTCCCTCAGTTACTAAAAACAACAGACATAGCCCCACTCCAAAAAGGGGGGCAGTAAAGCAACAGCAAAGAACTACAGACCAATAGCACTAACATCCCATATCATAAAAATCTTTGAAAGGGTCCTAAGAAGCAAGATCACCACCCATCTAGAAACCCATCAGTTACACAACCCAGGGCAACATGGGTTTAGAACAGGTCGCTCCTGTCTGTCTCAACTACTGGATCACTACGACAAGGTCCTAAATGCACTAGAAGACAAAAGAATGCAGATGTAATATATACAGACTTTGCAAAAGCCTTCGACAAGTGTGACCATGGCGTAATAGCGCACAAAATGCGCGCTAAAGGAATAACAGGAAAAGTCGGTCGATGGATCTATAATTTCCTCACTAACAGAACACAGAGAGTAGTCGTCAACAGAGTAAAGTCCGAGGCAGCTACGGTGAAAGCTCTGTCCCACAAGGCACAGTACTAGCTCCCATCTTGTTCCTCATCCTCATATCCGACATAGACAAGGATGTCAGCCACAGCACCGTGTCTTCCTTTGCAGATGACACCCGAATCTGCATGACAGTGTCTTCCATTGCAGACACTGAAAGGCTCCAGGCGGACATCAACCAAATCTTTCAGTGGGCTGCAGAAAACAAATATGAAGTTCAACGATGAGAAATTTCAATTACTCAGATATGGTAAACATGAGGAAATTAAATCTTCATCAGAGTACAAAACAAATTTGGCCACAAAATAGAGCGAAACACCAACGTCAAAGACCTAGGAGTGATTATGTCGGAGGATCTCACCTTCAAGGACCATAACATTGTATCAATCGCATCTGCTAGAAAAATGACAGGATGGATAATGAGAACCTTCAAAACTAGGGAGGCCAAGCCCATGATGACACTCTTCAGGTCACTTGTTCTATCTAGGCTGGAATATTGCTGCACTCTAACAGCACCTTTCAAGGCAGGTGAAATTGCCGACCTAGAAAATGTACAGAGAACTTTCACGGCGCGCATAACGGAGATAAAACACCTCAATTACTGGGAGCGCTTGAGGTTTCTAAACCTGTATTCCCTGGAACGCAGGAGGGAGAGATACATGATTATATACACCTGGAAAATCCTAGAGGGACTAGTACCAAACTTGCACACGAAAATCACTCACTACGAAAGCAAAAGACTTGGCAGACGATGCACCATCCCCCCAATGAAAAGCAGGGGTGTCACTAGCACGTTAAGAGACCATACAATAAGTGTCAGGGGCCCGAGACTGTTCAACTGCCTCCCAGCACACATAAGGGGGATTACCAACAGACCCCTGGCAGTCTTCAAGCTGGCACTGGACAAGCAACTAAAGTCAGTTCCTGATCAGCCGGGCTGTGGCTCGTACGTTGGTTTGCGTGCAGCCAGCAGCAACAGCCTGGTTGATCAGGCGCTGATCCACCAGGAGGCCTGGTCACAGACCGGGCCGCGGGGGCGTTGACCCCCGAAACTCTCTCCAGGTAAACTCCAGGTAAACACACGGAGGGCCCGGGTTCGATTCCCGGCGGGTGGAAACATTTCGACACGTTTCCTTACACCTGTTGTCCTGTTCACCTAGCAGCAAATAGGTACCTGGGTGTTAGTCGACTGGTGTGGGTCGCATCCTGGGGGACAAGATTAAGGACCCCAATGGAAATAAGTTAGACAGTCCTCGATGACGCACTGACTTTCTTGGGTTATCCTGGGTGGCTAACCCTCCGGGGTTAAAAATCCGAACGAAATCTTATCTTATGGTTGCATACATTGTTGTACATTCAGTCGTATGAAGTATTCTGTTAGGTTTACCTGGAGTTTACCTGGAGAGAGTTTCGGGGGTCAACGCCCCCGCGGCCCGGTCTGTGACCAGGCCTCCTGGTGGATCAGCGCCTGATCAACCAGGCTGTTGCTGCTGGCTGCACGCAAACCAACATACGAGCCACAGCCCGGCTGATCAGGAACTGACTTTAGGTGCTTGTCCAGTGCCAGCTTGAAGACTGCCAGGGGTCTGTTGGTAATCCCCCTTATGTGTGCTGGGAGGCAGTTGAACAGTCTCGGGCCCCTGACACTTATTGTATGGTCTCTTAACGTGCTAGTGACACCCCTGCTTTTCATTGGGGGGATGGTGCATCGTCTGCCAAGTCTTTTGCTTTCGTAGTGAGTGATTTCGTGTGCAAGTTCGGTACTAGTCCCTCTAGGATTTTCCAGGTGTATATAATCATGTATCTCTCCCTCGTGCGTTCCAGGGAATACAGGTTTAGAAACCTCAAGCGCTCCCAGTAATTGAGGTGTTTTATCTCCGTTATGCGCGCCATGAAAGTTCTCTGTACATTTTCTAGGTCGGCAATTTCACCTGCCTTGAAAGGTGCTGTTAGAGTGCAGCAATATTCCAGCCTAGATAGAACAAGTGACCTGAAGAGTGTCATCATGGGCTTGGCCTCCCTAGTTTTGAAGGTTCTCATTATCCATCCTGTCATTTTTCTAGCAGATGCGATTGATACAATGTTATGGTCCTTGAAGGTGAGATCCTCCGACATAATCACTCCCAGTCTTTGACGTTGGTTTCGCTCTATTTTGTGGCCAGAATTTGTTTGTACTCTGATGAGATTTAATTTTCCTCATGTTTACCATATCTGAGTAATTGAAATTTCTCATCGTTGAACTTCATATTGTTTTCTGCAGCCCACTGAAAGATTTGGTTGATGTCCGCCTGGAGCCTTGCAGTGTCTGCAATGGAAGACACTGTCATGCAGATTCGGGTGTCATCTGCAAAGGAAGACACGGTGCTGTGGCTGACATCCTTGTCTATGTCGGATATGAGGATGAGGAACAAGATGGGAGCTAGTACTGTGCCTTGTGGAACAGAGCTTTTCACCGAGCTGCCTCGGACTTTACTTGTTGACGACTACTCTCTGTGTTCTGTTAGTGAGGAAATATATAGATCCATCGACCGACTTTTCCTGTTATTCCTTTAGCGCGCATTTGTGCGCTATTACGCCATGGTCACACTTGTCGAAGGCTTTTGCAAAGTCTGTATATATTACATCTGCATTCTTTTTGTCTTCTAGTGCATTTAGGACCTTGTCGTAGTGATCCAGTAGTTGAGACAGACAGGTAGCGACCTGTTCTAAACCCATGTTGCCCTGGGTTGTGTAACTGATGGTTTTCTAGATGGGTGGTGATCTTGCTTCTTAGGACCCTTTCAAAGATTTTTATGATATGGGATGTTAGTGCTATTGGTCTGTAGTTCTTTGCTGTTGCTTTACTGCCCCTTTGTGGAGTGGGGCTATGTCTGTTGTTTTTTAGTAACTGAGGGACGACCCCCGTGTCCATGCTCCCTCTCCATAGGATGGAAAAGGCTCGTGATAGGGCTTCTTGCAGTTCTTGATGAACACAGAGTTCCATGAGTCTGGCCCTGGGGCAGAGTGCATGGGCATGTCATTTATCGCCTGTTCGAAGTCATTTGGCGTCATGATAACATCGGATAGGCTTGTGTTAATCAAATTTGTGCCTCTCTCATAAAAAATTCATTTTGATCTTCGACTCTCAGTCTGGTTAGGCGGCTTGCTAAAAACTGAGTCATATTGGGACTTGAGTAGCTCACTCATTTCCTTGCTGTCATCTGTGTAGGACCCATCTTGTTTAAGTAGGGGCCCAATACTGGACGTTGTTCTCGATTTTGATTTGGCATAGGAGAAGAAATACTTGGGTTTCTTTCGATTTCATTTATGGCTTTTAGTTCTTCCGCGATTCCTGACTCCTAAAGGATTCTTTTAGCTTAAGTTTCGATGCTTGCTATTTCTCTGACCAGTGTCTCCCTGCGCATTTCAGATATATTGACCTCTTTTAGCCGCTCTGTTATTCTTTTCCCGTCGCCTGTAAAGGGAGCGCCTGTCTCTTTCTATTTTACATCTACTCCTCCTTTTTCTTAGAGGAATAAGCCTTGCGCATACATCGAGTGCCACCGAGTTAATCTGTTCTAGGCATAAGTTTGGGTATGTGTTGCTTAGTATATCTTCCCAGCTTATATCGGTTAGGACTTGGTTTACTTGGTCCCACTTTATGTTTTGTTATTGAAGTTGAATTTGGTGAATGCTCCCTCGTGACTAGTCCTCATTTGTCGGTCTGGGGCTCCACGCATACATGTCTGAACCTCAATTATGTTGTGATCTGAGTATATTGTTTTTGATATGGTGACATTTCTTATCAGATCATCATTGTTAGTGAAGATGAGGTCTTGTGTATTCTCCAGTCTAGTAGGCTCTATATTTGCTGGTTTAAATTGAATTTTGTGCAGAGATTTAAAAGCTCGTGTGAGTGTGAGTTTTCATCAGAGCTGCCTCCTGGTGTTATTACTGCAACAATATTATTTGCTATATTCCTCCATTTTAGGTGCCTTAAGTTGAAATCCCCCAGAGCAAGATGTTGGGTGCAGGAGCTGGAAGATTTTCCAGACAGTGGTCAATTTTTAACAGCTGTTCCTGGAATTGCTGGGATGTTGCATCCGGAGGCTTGTAGACTACCACAATGACTAGGTTTTGGTTCTCGACCTTTACTGCTAAAACTTCCACTACGTCATTTGAGGCATTAAGCAGTTCTGTGCAAACAAGTGACTCTGCAATGTACAGGCCAACCCCCCCCCTTTTGCCTGTTCACTCTGTCACATCTGTATAGGTTGTAACCTGGGATCCATATTTCGTTGTCCAAGTGATCCTTATGTGGGTCTCAGTGAAAGCCGCGAACATTGCCTTTGCCTCTGCAAGCAGTCCACGGATGAAAGGTATTTTGTTGTTTGTTGCTGGCTTTAGACCCTGTATATTTGCAAAGAAGAATGTTATCGGACTGGTGGTATTGTTGGTACTGGGGGGGGGGATTTTTTTTTTCCGGCATTAGTATCTGTATCTGTGGTTTGGAGTGGAGGCCATCGACTGTGGTTCCACTCCAGGAATGACTGGATTTGGTGTACGATTTCTGCCATTTCCTGCCAGTTTTTTTTCCTTCCTGGCACTAAAAAACACTCTCCTCTTGAGTGGCTGTGGCTACCCAGGTTTTCCCATGGCCTGGATGTTTTGTATCTTTTTGTCCCCTTTAGATGGTATGCCTGGCAATTTAAGCTATAGCACAGTCTTTCCTGTACTGAAGAGGTACACATTTCAGGGTGAAAAAGCTTACAGGAAGGGAGTTTGCATTTACCTGTTGTCATATGGGCATGACATTTTCTAGGGTGGTCATAGTTGCATGTCCCATCTGTTTTTCCAGATTTCCCATGCCAGCAGATACCAAGTGCATAGTATGTGCACAGGCTTGGTTTCCGTTTGCCTTGGGTTTCTGTGACTGTATTCCCTGTTGGTGCATGTTTCCCTGTCTTATTCCTATCCTCCCTAGCACCAACAATGGAGCTCCCCACCAGTTGTTTTGGTAATTATCCTCACTATTGCTATTGGAGTCCTCTTGTTTGCTATTTCCTGCGGTATTTCTAGTTTGCAATATTGGTTTTATCTTATCTTTGACTACACTTGTTTCCCTACTATGGCTCCTGTCCTCTATGAGGTCATTTATATGTATTCCTTCCTGCGTATAATTCCCGACTACCTGGACAAAATCTCCAGCTTCACCATTACTGTCTCCCAGGACAGTATCTCCAGCTTCACCATTTCTGTCTCCCAGGACAGCACCTCCAGCTTCACCATTACTGTCTCCCAGGACAGCAACCTCTAGCTTCACCATTACTGTCTCCCAGGACAGCACTCCAGCTTTACTATTACTGTCTCCCAGGACATCACCTCCAGCCTTACAGTTTGTGACTACATGGCCAGTATCAAGGGCAGTACCATTCAGCCCAGACTTTTTATGTTCCCATCTTTGTAGAAAGCTTCCAGGTTTTCTATGAAAGCAGCTTTGATGTTATCCTCTTTTAATACCCTTGTGATTTTAGTCCACAGATTTTCCTCATTTGGGCATACCCAAAAACACTTCTCTGTTTTAATACTGCTTGTAGCTAGTTCTGGGATATCTGCACAAGGAGCGTGACACCAATTTCCACAAAAATGACAATTTATCCATGTGGAAGCCCGTTTGTTTGACTGACCACAGACTACACACAGCTTCATAATGATTTGAATGGTTGATTTACTGCAATTCTACTAGCAACCTCTTGAATATTATATTAATAACCTTAAATGAAGCTCTAGCTATTTGTATTTCTGTTTCTAACTCTTTTTGTATATTGGACAGCTTACCGTCACGTTCCTGATTTTTAATGTTTGTGTTTATAAGGTAGTGTATTTAAAAAAATAATAAAGTTAGATTGGGTTTTAGGTATAAGGTTCGGTTATTCAGTATTCAGCATATGTGTAGAGAACCTGGGATAACACAAAAAAGTCAGTGACTTATTTCCACTGGGGTCCTTGAGGACCACATGTAACTGTATTTGTATATACCTGAATAAAGTTACTTACTTACTTACTTACATACCCATGGTGTGGGCAGTAGTCAAAATAATGCATAGGTACATAATGGGTCCAGGCCCCAGGGACTGGGCCACAAAGTTTTGATAGTTGAACAAGTTACAGTGGTAATGATCTATTTACATGTTTACATCTAGTTACAGTAGTAATGAGTTATTTATGCAGACATTAATTAGGTCACACACACACAAGGTGGGGATGAGTGAGCTGGAAGACTTAAGTGTAAATTTAGATTCAGGTACACATAAGTACATTTTATACAATTATAGGCGATTAAAATTATCATACATGGTAACATATGTGTAAATTACCTAGGATAATACAAAAACAATGTCAAAGTGACTTCTTCCATTGGTTTTCTTGAGCATATCATCAATTATTCTAGTACTGTAGCCGTAGCAGTTTTTAAATGTTTCCTTCCAGTAGGCCTTGAATTATTTTTACATATAATTAACATTATGGATGATATTTCTCAATGATTTAGAGGAATGGATGATAACTTTGTGCCAAAAAAATCATACCACAGACCAAAACAAGGCAATATTTGTAATTTATCTGGTAAAATATAAAGGTAGGACGATATAGGTAAAAAAAGGAATGTAATATCTCACTTTAGGTTCATATAACTTAAAAAATAGTTTTTAATAAGCATTAATGAATGCAAGTGCCAGGGAACAGAGGTCTTTGTTTACCTTCCATTTGCAGTTACAATTCTTTCTCATTTTTCTATTTTATCATGGTTCTGTGAGTAATATATATTTCTCTATCTTTATTTTTTGTACAAGAGGTATATATGTTGCTGCTGACATGTGTCAAAAGAAAAATCATCGTGTAAGAAGAGTAAATGTGTGTTAGCGTGTGACTTAGGTATAATAATATTTTTGGATGCTTGCAGTAGGCTTACTTACAAATATATAGTATCCCCTCAAGGAAGGTTCCTTGATGTTGGTGAGGGGCTCTTGATTTAGGGAATTGGATCTGTGCTCCAGTTCCCCGAATTAAGCCTGAATGCCTTCCACCCCCCCCCCAGGCGCTGTATAATCCTCCGGGTTTAGCGCTTCCCCCTTAAGATAAGATAAGATAAGATTTCGTTCGGATTTTTAACCCCGGAGGGTTAGCCACCCAGGATAACCCAAGAAAGTCAGTGCTTCATCGAGGACTGTAACTTATTTCCATTGGGGTCCTTAATCTTGTCCCCCAGGATGCGACCCACACCAGTCGACTAACACCCAGGTACCTATTTGCTGCTAGGTGAACAGGACAACAGGTGTAAGGAAACGTGTCGAATGTTTCCACCCGCCGGGAATCGAACCTGGGCCCTCCGTGTGTGAAGCGGGAGCTTTAGCCCCCAGGCCACCGGGCCACCATGATTATAATAATAATAATAATAATAATAATAATAATACAAATATATATGTAAATTACCTAGAATAACCCAAATAAAAGCGCAATCACAAATTTTCACAACGATTACAATAGACTTACTTACTAATATGTCACTTCCCTAGAATAAACCTTAAAAAATGTACAATCATATTTTTTTTTGATGATTGCAATAAGCTTACAAACGTGTAAATTACCTAGAATAGCCTCAGAAAAGTCAGTCAAAATGACTTATTTCCATTAAGGTCCTTGATAATATCTGTTAGCAACCTAACATTAGGACGTGTTCTCTTAAGACACCTGCTGTCCCTGTTCACATAAAGGGGTTTACCAATAAACCCCTGGCTGCCTTCAACACCCCTGGCTGTGCCTTCAACTCCCCTGGCTGCCTTCAACACCCCTGACTGCCTTCAACACCCCTGACTGCCTTCAACACCCCTGGCTGCCTTCAACACCCCTGACTGCCTTCAACATCCCTGACTGCCTTCAACACCCCTGGCTGCCTTCAACACCCCTGGCTGCCTTCAACACCCTGGCTGCCTTCAACACCCCTGGCTGCCTTCAACACCCCTGACTGCCTTCAACACCCCTGACTGCCTTCAACACCCCTGGCTGCCTTCAACTCCCCTGACTGCCTTCAACACCCCTGGCTGCCTTCAACACTCCTGGCTGCCTTCAACACCCCTGACTGCCTTCAACACCCCTGGCTGCCTTCAACACCCCTGACGGGCCTTCAACACCCTGGCTGCTTCAACACCCCTGCTGCCTTCAACCCCGGGCTCCCTTCAACAACCCCTGGCTGCCTTCACACCTGACGCCTTCAACACCCCTGGCTGCCTTCAACACTCCTGGCTGCCTTCAACACCCCTGACTGCCTTCAACACCCCTGGCTGCCTTCAACACCCCTGGCTGCCTTCAACACCCCTGGCTGCCTTCAACACCCCTGGCTGTCTTCAACACCCCTCGCTCCAAACAACCTTCAAGAAATGATGGAAGTGCAGCTAGTCCTGATGCCTTAGATGAACTCTCTTTAAGAGATAAGTTTAGGGTAAAATCCTTTATTCCTGTACTAGATGCACTTAAAGCCAGTTTAAGAAGAGCTACTGTTTACCTGGAGTTTACCTGGAGAGAGTTCCGGGGGTCAACGCCCCCGCGGCCCGGTCTGAGACCAGTGATGATGCACAAATGTTTTCCTTTCTTACTAATCTGACAGCATCTAAGCAAGAAATTCAGCAAGGTGTTGAACTGTTGATGGAAGCAAACCCAGATGTTGACCTGAGACTTACTGATGAACTTTTGCACTTTCACTTGTGCGTGAGACAAAACCATAGGCCTACAGAAGAACAGTCACTGTTTCATACACACCTTTATCAAATTATATAAAGGAAAAATTAAGAGAGTCTTCCTAATGTGGAAACAATCTTGCCACTATTTCTTAGCTTAATGGTCATTAACTGATCGGAAGAGAGGTCTTTTTCAAGCCTCAAAATAATTAAAAATGAATTAAGGGCCATACTGTCTCAAGAGGGGTTGGCCACACTGAACATTCTGTACATTGAAAGTGACAAACTTGGATAAACAAATTTTGGTGAACTTTTGGATGATTTTTGCTATGAGGAAGGCTATAAAAGAACTTTTTTTTAGTCTTAGTGTATTTGATGATTATAGTTTATTTTTTAATATATATTTTACAAGAATATTCATATATATTTTAAAGAATATAACAGTAAACTTATAATTTCATTTTCCTAAAAAACTCCTGCTCATTCCACAATGTGTTTACAAAGTTCAGTTGTTGCAAGAGTTTTCATTGTTAATTTTAACATTTATGCTTTTTTTTTTCAATCAGTATGCTATTTAACAATAACATAGAGGAGGAATTGTGAATTGTGTCATTGACCTCGGCTTCACTGAATTTTGTGTAAAACACACTTTAATCTTCCTTTAGTCATACGGATGGGGGATTGGGAGGAGCCCCTCACAAGTAGCCTAGGACCTCTCTTCATCTAAATCTGGCACTAGTTACATTCATTGGTAGGTGGAACATAATGAACAATGTCTCAGTTTGAAGCCAATGAAAATGTGGAACACTGAAAAGGTGTTGTATATGTGAGTCCCTGCTGTAGTATGTCATTGATGTCAGCTAGGTCTGTATAAGTCACATCATATACATATATTATTATTAACCAGTTTGCTAAAAGTTATTCACATGTTAGTTGGGTATTCCCCAATAGAAATAGGTCACTTTGACTTATTTGGGTTATCTGAGGTAATTTACACTATGCATGATAATTGTACAGTGGACCCCCGGTTAACGATATTTTTTCACTCCAGAAGTATGTTCAGGTGCCAGTACTGACCGAATTTGTTCCCATAAGGAATATTGTGAAGTAGATTAGTCCATTTCAGACCCCCAAACATACACGTACAAACGCACTTACATAAATACACTTACATAATTGGTCGCATTCGGAGGTGATCGTTATGCGGGGGTCCACTGTACTTGTGTGTACCTGTCCTTAATAAACTTACTTAGGAAATCTATTGCCCAGATAGTCAGTGTTTGTTTTTGTTTATGGTTCTATATGATGCATGAAAGATTGCATGATAGTGAAGACTTTTAATGATGATGCTGTGTTGGAGTTAAGGTCAGGTATACAGTGTGGCTTGCAGGGTAGTTTTCGTGCTTAGTATGTACCAGTAGTACCTACTGGTACATACTACATAGATCCTACTGTTTAGTAGGTCAGTATCCATTTCCAAGTGCTCGTTGAGTGGTTTCTGGTACAATATCTTTTAACTTTTATTTTTTTAGTATGTTGGCCATCTCCCAGTGAGGCAGGGTGACCCAGTAAAGAAAGAAGCACTTTTGCCATCATTCACGCATAATCACTGTCTTTACAAGGTTCCCAAATATGACAGTTTAGATATCAGTCCAAACAGCCAGTATCCAAAACTCCTCCTTTAAAGTGCAGGCATTGTACTTTTCACCTCCAGGACTCAGGTCCAGCTAACCAGTTTCCCTATATCCCTTCACAAAATATTACCCTGCTCACACTCCAAAAGCTCATCAGGCCCTGAAAAAAATTCGTCTCCATTCATTCCTATCTAACACACTCACACATGCCTGCTGCATGTCCAAGCATGTCCTAGGTAATTTACACATACGTACATTACTGTGTATGATAATTTGTGTAACTGTATTTGTGTGCACCTGTACCTAAATAAGCTTAATTAACCAGCTGTCGTGTTACATAGTTTGTTAAAGACTGTTGACATGACAGTCAGGTAGTGACATATTGAGTTACTTAAAGTTGTGAAACATATACAGTACTGAATTTATCCACTAAGTAAATTGAAAAAATAGCTGTAATATGTATGTAAATGCAGTGTGCCTCCAATGGCTGTTGACTCAGTTGCTCTTTACATTTGGGCAACCCTCTGTTGGTCCAATGTCCTTGGTCTCCTTGTACTGCTAACACATTCATGAACTGATAAAGTCAGTAATAGTGACCAGGTACATACTTTTTGCTTTGCTGTCCTTGTGTATAATTTTGCTTATAATGAATATAATATAGTATATTCATACAGTATGTGCCTAACTATAAGAAATAATAAGAACCCCAATGGAAATACATAGGATATAGGAAAGTACTGGTTTGGTAATAGAGTTGTGGATGAGTGGAACAAGCTCCCGAGTACAGTTATTGGGGCTAAAACTTTGTGTAGTTTTAAAAATAGGTTAGATAAATACATGAGTGGGTGTGGGTGGGTGTAAGTTGGACCTTACTAGCTTGTGCTGCTGGGTCTGGTACAGTGCTCCATCCTTGAGTGGGGATGACCAGACTGGGTGGGTCATTGGTCTAATCCGGGGGGGGGGGGGGACATGGACCTGCTCCGCATGGGTCAGTAGGCCTGTTGCAGTGTTCCTTCTTTCTTATGTTCTTATGTTAAATCACATTGCTTGACTTTTTGGTTGTCATAGATTAAATCTACTATATGTCTACATCATTTATGTTCCCTTGGAATCATTTTACAAATTTATGATGCTGTCTGTAAAATTATTTGTAGGTTTCTTAAATAAAACTTGGCTGTGTTTATAGCACCACCTTCAAATTTCATCACACCTTGTCAATATTAGTGTTATTGTTTATCAGTCTTCTTAAGCAGTTTGAGCTTGCAATAAGTATTTGGAAGTGATTCATTGCTTTCCAATGAGTATATCATGATATAAGAATATTGTAACGTATGTGAAAACATCTCGGCTGGGACAAGTGTAGAAGTCTTCAAGAGGAAACTGGACAAGTATCTTCACCAAGTGCCAGACCAACCAAACTGTGATAGATATGTGGGTCAGCAGGCCACCACCAGCAACAGCTTGGTTGACCAGGCAAGTACCAGATGAGCTTGGACCATGACCATGCTCTGAGAGTAGAGAAACTCTCAGGATTCATCAAAAGTGTCTGAGGGAAAACATGTCTTATTTTCATGCCTTAACTTTAAAACCAACTATGTATCATGACTTATTATGAACTTTGTATAAGAGGATACAAATATAGTTTACTGAAGTGAGCAGTATACATATACACATTTAGGTTCCAATTATATTTAACAATTGTCTTTTATTATTGCAGTTCTTAGATGTGACCGTGATCTGGCAGACTGTCAATGTTAGTTTAAGAATGTGGTGGTTTTGACCTGTCTTTTTATCTGGATTTGGTAAGTTTAATTTACCTGTAGTGTACAGTTATTTGTTTACATACAGTAAAAAAATTTACAAAAACTTTGCAGAGATTTCAGATAATAAACTCCAGTAATATAAGCTTTTCATTCTATTTTATTTTCCTGTAAGTCCTTCAGAGTCCTACTTATTTCCTGGGTATTGAGAATGCAGAATAGAAGGAAGCAGTTTTGTTATTAGGAATTGAAGAATTTTAAATATGATTTTGGAAACTCATTGTTTATAAAATATTATGAACTCAAAATATAAAACTAAATTGTGAAAATATAATTTAAACTTTGAGGTATATACAATATCATTTTTATTGATGTCACAGTGTTGCCAAATATATGTTATGTTGTAAACAATTTTGATAATCATGATGTTTGCTTGGAATTCATGGCACTGGGAAGCTTCAGGCAGCGGCCGAGTTGTGTAGAGAATTCAGACTTTCAACTGAGGTGTGATAGAGCAAGGGCCATTCACCCATTAAAGACATACATGTATAGTGTATCTTTACCAAGTATTTGACTTAAAAAACATGTAGTACACTGTAATGAATATTAACTGTTATATATTTGCTTTACATATTTACAGTATGACATGTGAAACATCTGGGTATATTTATTGAGAGACATTTTTGCTTACCCGGGGCTTTATGAATCTAATATAAAGCTGTGACAATGGAGACTTATAGTGGAGCTAGTGGAAGAAGTCGAGTGACTCAGCAGTTATAGATGTGGTCATAAGGGTGGGGGCCCACTAGTACAACTGGATCTTTTCTAACTTATCTACATCTGTATTTTTTAGGTGTGGGCACCACACAACCATTGTGTGTTCCCATTTTGGTGTAAAATATATTGTAAATTACTTTTTAAGCATTACTTCATCCATATACAGTGGATCCCCGCCTTACGATATTATTTCATTCCAGAAGTATGTTCAGGTGCCAGTACTGAACGAATTTGCTCCCATAAGGAATATTGTGAATTAGATTAGTCCATTTCAAACCCCCAAACATACACGTACAAACGCACTTACATAAATACACTTACATAATTGGTCGCATTGGGAGCTGATCGTAAAGCGGGGGTCCACTGTATTTGATAGTTTTTATATAATTAGGCAGTGTAATATATGAGTCTCTCCTAATTTTATTTACCATACATAATCATCTAATAAAAAAATTCTTAATATTTCTTGGTCCCTCTGTCTGTCTGATACTTTCAGTGTTTTGTTACAGTCTAGATTCTTCATGTGGCCTGATTTCTCTATCTCCCATTTCTGTTACACGACAGCTATCTGCATTAATTTTCATTATCTATCATTATATTTGCTCAGTTTGTAAGTCATCCTGTAGAGATTCAGTTTACTTAGATATCTTACTACACCTTTTTTGTGACATATTCTTGTAAGGATATTTTTTCTCTTATAATTTTTTGCATTTTTCCTTTCAGACAGAAAATTTCTATTTTAAGAGTTTACCTTTGTTTTGAAGTTGTCTAGATTAATGTCTTACTGAAAACTCTTATCAAAACTTTCTTAAAATTTACCCTCTGCCCATCTATTTTTTTCTTGAATAATTTCTGTGACTGTCAAAATAATACATGATACAGTAGAACCCCCATATCAATGGATTTAGTATCAGTGATTTCAGTTATCCACAGTTTACTGTAACCCAGAAATAACCTTTAATTTTGCTTAATAATGGCCACACAAAAGTAGTGATGATGGCTGTTCTTCAAAGCCTAAGAGAAGCCATGAAGTGCTTCCTGTCAGTGAAAAGTGATAATTCTAAACATTTTTTTTTTTTTTTTTTTTTTTTTTCTCTCAACAAGTCGGTCGTCTCCCACCGAGGCAGGGTGACTCAAAAAAGAAAGAAAATCCCCAAAAAGAAAATACTTTCATCATCATTCAACACTTTCACCACACTCACACATTATCACTGTTTTTGCAGAGGTGCTCAGAATACAACAGTTTAGAAGCATATATGTATAAAGATACACAACATATCCCTCCAAACTGCCAATATCCCAAACCCCTCCTTTAAAGTGCAGGCATTGTACTTCCCATTTCCAGGACTCAAGTCCGACTATATGAAAATAACCGGTTTCCCTGAATCCCTTCACTAAATATTACCCTGCTCACACTCCAACAGATCGTCAGGTCCCAAGTATCATTCGTCTCAGTTCACTCCTATCTAACACGCTCATTTATCAGTTAAACTTTATCATAGGTATGTATGTAAGTGAAAAATGACTTACATACAGGGTTCGCTACTATCCACGGTTGGTCTTGGAATGTATTCCCTATGGATACGGGGGACTACTGTACAGCACTATTAAAATTATTATAATAAAAAAGAAGCACTAAGCCACAAGGGCTATACAGCAGCACTATTAAAAAAAAAAAAAAAAAAATACTGTACTACACAAAGTAATTTTCCCCCCTTTCTGCAGCTTAAATAGGTAGAGGGGAACACTTGATTTATGCCTTGGTCCACGTCAGTCATCACTAATCTGGCAGTCACTAATCCAGTTCCATTACTAATCTGGCACAAATTTCGGCTAGCATAATTTCAAATTTCCCAGGTCGCCACACCAACCTGCCGCTACTGTTTGATGGTGCTGCTTGCTGCATAAACAGTATTGGCATCACTTGCAAACACAGGCAAGCCATTCCAATTTGTTTTTCTCTACGGTATTTATTGTTATAACCTGTTCACTTTTAGCCCAGCCATGGTTCCAGTGAATAAAGGATATGCTTCTGTTATAATAATGAGTTCCTGAAGTTTTACTCAAATCAAGTGGCTTATAGTTGAGAATGTGTGTTTATCCATTTGGCTGCCTCGTTCACCAGCACTTAAGATGACATCTTACTCTCACATTTCTTTTTATACTAACTGAGCATTTTGTTACTTTCCTTTGTTTCTTGGTAACTTTTAACTATTATTTTTTATGATACTCTGGCTGTCTCCCACTAAGGTAAGGGGACATCCCCCTAAAAAAAAAATAAACACATTCCCCATCATTCATTCAGTAGCTGTCTTGCTTGAAGTGTGAAGTCATCACACTTCAAATGACTCTCTGAACTGCTACATCTCCATCTGCCTCTCAGAGTGCAGGCACCATAATTCCCACCTCCAGGACTCAAGTTCATCTGCCAGGTTCCCTTGAATTCCTTCATTAGTTACCTTGCTCAAACTCCAACAGCACATCAAGTCTCCACTCCAGTGTAATGCACTCATACAAACCTGTTCCATGTTTTTTTTGGAATGTTGTTCTATAAATTCTCACAACTTAATTTTTTGTTATGTAATTATATTCTTCTTTTTCAGACTTCTTTTTCTGCAAGAGAGACTGTTGGCCAGCACGATCCTGATACTGCATTCTGGATGCCAGGTGACTTCATGCTGCACTCTGGATGCCAGGTGACTTCATGCTGCACTCTGGATGCCAGGTACTTCATGCTGCAGTCTGGATGCCAGGTGACTTCATGCTGCACTCTGGATGCCAGGTGACTTCATGCTGCACTCTGGATGCCAGGTGACTTCATGCTGCACTCTGGATGCCAGGTGACTTCATGCTGCACTCTGGATGCCAGGTGACTTCATCATGTTGAAGAAAGTCACTTTTTTTTCATTATAAACTTCAGAGATTGAAGTTCAGCATTAAATTACATTTCTGTGAAGGTACATATCTGAGGCTGGTTTTGAGGGGTTTTCTCTCCTTACAGTCTGGCCTGAGGCCAGGCTGCCCTGTTGAATGTTTGACCAGCTACGTTGTTTCTACTAGTGGCCTGCAGACCTACATAGCTGGGCGATCTGTATATTTGTGTTATAGATGTAAAACTTTGTTGAATATATTTTAGGGGTCTTTTTTTCCAGTGTGCCAAAGAGTAGTTTGTGAGTGTATATAATTGTTGTCATTCAAAAGAAACTGGCTGTTGTCATAGACAAAAGTGAAATTTTAAATCACACAAATAACTTGGAAGCACAATGGAGGAATCTGAGGATAGTGAGGCCCAAGTGCAATTAAAAGCTAAGTCATTAACTATGTCAAATATAGCAGATAATGCACAAAAAGATGATGAAAAAAACAAAGAGAAAGAAAATGATGAAGAATGCAAAGAGAGATCAATGCTCAATGCAGAAAAGGAGAAAGGAAAGGATAAAAAAAGGAATATTGTAAAGGAGGTAGGAAAAGGAATAAAACAAACAAGAGGAAAGCATGAAAACAACACTCATAATCTAAAGTACAGAGAGAAAAGTGCTTATGATGAAGAGAATGATGCTGAGGGAGATACAGGGAAGGAGAAAGATCTTAATATTGAAGAGGAAGGAGGGAGAGGAGACCCTGGAACTGCTAATGAAAAAAATAATGCTACTAATCAGTGTGAAGAGAAATGTCAGGTTAAAGTCAATCAACTGAGTGAAGAAGAGAAGTGGGTAAATAAAGAAAAAATAATATGTGATATTCAGTATATTAAGAAAGACAAGGAAGACAAAAAGCAAAATATCATATTAATTACCTGTATGTCTGGGGAATCACAAATTATTCACCAAGACTGCAAGGAAATGTCAGGGAAGCAAAGAGTGTTGAATAAGAATGAGGGTCCAAAACATGCAGATCAGGAGACAAAGAAAGATATAAAAAACACAGATGAAGCTGAAGAAGAGGAGAAAGTCAGAGAAGAAGTGGAAGAAAAGAATTTTGGAGAAGAAGAATCTATTAACCAAGAGGGTGTGGAAGGCAGTAAGACAAACAAGAAAGACCTGAGTCAGAAAATAAAACAGCAGAAAGATATAGAAGTTGTACAAACTCAGGCAGACATTGAAACAGATAATGCAGGAAAGAAGTTGGGGATTCCTAAAACGAAAATGGATAGAGAGAGGCAGAAATATGTTAAAGAGGAATTGGGAAATGAAGAGAGCATGGAAAATGGTATGGACAACCAAGTCAATTTACAAGAATCAGAGACCAAGAAAGGCATTGAAAGGAATGCAGCAAATCCAAAAAATTTTCAAAGTTTGGAAAGTCAAGAAAATGTGAAAAATACTGTAGAAAGTGAGATAAATAAGGAAAAGAGTATAGAGAATAAAGTAAATATGGGAAAGGTAGAGAATGAGGTAAATATGGAAAAGGTAGGGAATGAGGTAAATATGAAAAAGAATGTGGAGAATGAGAAAGAGACTGTTGAAAACGAAGTAAGTAGTGAAGGTAATATAGTTAATGATAAAAATATTGAAACAAATGTGGAACATGAAATAAATATGGAAAAGGAGTTAGAGATGCAGAAGAATATTGAAAAGAATGTGGTTCACGAAACAAATATAGAAAAGTATTTAGAAGAAGAAAAAATTAACAAAACAGCAGAAAATGGAATAAATATGGAAAAGGAGTTAGTGACACAGAGAAATATTGAAAAGAATGGAGAAAAGAAGAAAAATATAGTAAAGGAGATTGGGAGTACTGACAACATTGAAGTTAATACAGGAAAACAGGAAAATGCAGAGGAGTTAATAGGTCAGGAATCCCTAGAAATGTGTGTGGAGAAACATGAAGCTGCAGAACTTGAAAATCGCAAATTTTAAGCGAGGCTTTGGGGATCCTGGAAAATAAAGAAAAAAAGAACCACAAGAACATAGAAGAATTGGAAAGTCAGGAAAGTACAAAAAAACTGGAAAATCAGAAAAATATAGATGATATCATAGAGAATTGGAATGAATCAGGGGAGAAAATGGAGCAACAGAAAGGGCAAGAGATACCAAATAAACAGAAAAATAATAATGTTGAATGCCAAGTGAATGTCATAAACAAGACAGTATACAAGAAATGCCAGGAACAGAATTTGCGGCTCCAAACAGATGCATCTAAATGCTTTAAATGTATGGAAGAGGGTACTAAATTCTGTAAACATACAGTTGAATATAGCAAAGATACAACACTGGAGGTGGGTAACACGAAAGATGAAATGTTGCAAGATCAGCCTAAGGTCAGAGAGGAGAAACAAAAGGAGGAGTCCACTAAAAGTGTCTTAGAGAGGCCTGTTAGTGAAGAAAAACCAGACGAACCAAACAAAAGCTCACATATAGATCATGATCCAGTGGAAATCAAAGGTGTTAAGAAGTTTTTTGGCCAAAAAAAGAAGTCCCAAATTCTTCAAAGAAAGTGCATTAAGAGACTCTTAACTTCTGAGAAAGAAGAGTATATGGAATCTGTTTGTCAGAGCAGCTTAAGGGATGAGAAATCAGCTGCTGTTATCAGTGAAGATGAAAGGCAAAGTAGAGTTTGGGGCGAAGATGAGAGAGGTGTTACTCCAAATAGCACAGCGGACCAGAATATCTTGGAGTCTACTAGCAGTTCCAACAGTCAAGAGAATGAATACCAGCCTTGTCATAGTACTGATATGAGTAGTGGATCCCAAAGTTCAGGCAGCAAAAGTAAGGTGCACACAGTTGCTAATGAAGCAAACAGAGGTCATCAGGACAGTATTACCAATGTTGATAACTTCACTGATGTTCATTCTGAAAATGATCAGCTATCAAAAGATACAGATAAGAATTATCAGTCTCCAAAGAAACAGAAAGGTGTTGAAGGTAATCAGTCTGCATGTCCATTACACAAAAAGCTGCAAGATCCTGAAAGTTCGCAAGCCAAAACTGAATCAAAGAGTAAAATGGTGGAATGCATAGATTTACTTAGTGATGATGATGGTGGTGATGATGCTAGTACTGCCTACACAAGCACAACTGCATCAAAGACATTACATCATGTTCGAGAAAAAATTGTCCCTACTGTTTGTGAAAAATGTCGGAGTATATGGAATAATCAAGTATTGAGTACAATTTTCTTGGGCGTTGAGTCTGTTACTGTCAACTCAAAGATAACATATGGTGCCATCATATGCATCAACCACTGGGCTGAGTCCCATTATTTAAGTGGAAAGGAGTCTGCAGTAAGAAGCTTACTTGATAGAGCAGATTTATGCAAAAATATTGGCTCTTTAAGGATAAGTGAGGTTAATCATTGGCTTGGCAGCCTCATGAAAGCTGGTAAGGTAAAATGTTGTGATGTTTTTGAGGCTTTTTACCAGCCAGATGTCCAAAATAAATTGCTTTCATCCCTACCTCACACAGATGTGTCTACAGATAAAGCTACGGGAATTAAAATAAGGGTTGACTCTGTAGATGGTGAGAATCAGCCACCTAAAAAGAATATTAGTCAGTCTCCAAAGGACTGCCCATCTTCCTTAAAGAATCAGTCACTGACAAGTCCAGGGTATATTTTACCTTTACAAAAAGGCTCTGATTCTGCAAAAAATGTCCTATCAGGAGTATGGAATACTCCTGTGTTTGACAGAAAGGTAGTATTGCCAGGCATTGGACAAGAAAAGTCAGCAACATGCTTAGATAAACAAGGGAAGTCTACCTCAGGGTATGCTCAAGAGTGTGCTACAAGGAATTGTCAAATAGATTCAGGAAAGACCACATCAACAGAAGCTGTTTATTCTTCATCTGACATGGGTAAAGCAGTTAGCCCAAAGCAGTCTTTGCAATCTTCATCTGAGAAAGCTGAATTAGTTCTGACAGAGGTCACACCACCTGCTACTAAGGCAGGAAGTTCATCTGAAATGGTGTCACCTGTTTCTAGAAAAAGAACAGCAGATATGTTAATAGAAGATACCCCACATACCCTCAGAGATGAAAACTCACAAAACCTAGAGTCAGTTGATTCAAAGATCACTACTACTGCAACTTTGTGTGAGAAACCCACTACAGATTTAGAGAAAGATGTAGCCTCTCACTCTGAGACAAATGAGACACCACCAAGTATGAGTTACAATGTATTACAAACTGATGATACAGTTGCAGAAAAAATCTTAGACACATCTGTATCCTCTACTTCACATTCCAACTCCACAGTGATAACAAGTTTAACTTTACCTCCTGATGCAAGTACATCTGATTGTCTTAATGAAAGTTTGCACTCAGTTTCAGTTGAACAAGAGATTGACACACCAAAGAGGAAGAGGAAGAGGAAGAGGAAAAGTCTAGCACCACCCACTAGATCTGCAAGGCCCATAATTCATCCTTCACAATCACCAACTTCTCAGGATGCTACTGTCACTTCTTCAGCCATGTCTCCACAACATAGTACACTTGTTGCCACAAATTTAACACTAACTTCTCATAACGAGGAGGCAGGCAAAACAACAGTAAGTTCTACACAGGAAGCAGCTTCATCTATTGAACAATGGCCAACACTTCAGCAAGAACATGATCCACCATTACAGCCACTTCAGCTTCAAGCAGTATTTAATAAAGAAGAGCAGTGTTCACAGGAGCAACATGATATAAACAGCACAAGTACATTGCAAAATGCACAAAATTCTTCCAAGGTATACATGCATCAAATTGATGAAAATTCCATACCCTCCGATTCTGACAGTGGTGGGGGCGAGGACAATCTTCATGTCAATAGTGAAGAAAGTTCTTCTGATAATTTATGTTCAGTTCTGGGATTGAATGTGAGCACTTTAGATACTTATTGTTCTAGCACAGATATGAAAACCATCACCAATGGAGTTATGGCCAGAAATCCTTCAAAAAGATACAAGTTTAGTTTTTGTCATTATGCTATGCTCAAGGAACAATCAGCATTGAGTGGGTTAGCCAGGGAAGCTTTTAATCTCATGCCATTTGAATCTGACAATTGCCGTCCACTAGCTCAAGGTACTAATGGTCGGGAGCGCTTCTTGACAAACAGGGAACTGTTAACATTGCAGAGCATATGCATATTGCATCCCGAAAACCCAGATGTTGACTTGTTTTTCCGGATATTAGTTCAGATACTTATGACAAGAAGTAGAGTATTGTTAGTGCCCAATAGTCTCACTCTTCTCCTTGTGGCAGAGAATTTACGTCGAGAATGTAATCGTGCCAAAACTAAGGGAACGTATTCTATGTTCTTATCTCAGGACTGGGATACAAGTAATGTTTATACGGCCAAAGATTTGTTGCACTCTAAACTTGAGAAAGTTAAAGAACCTACAGTTCGCAGTGTTCTCTCTGTGTTCTGCTTGTGGAAGAATCTTGGCAAACAGGTCACAAATATTTCTCTGCCTGAAGCCCTGGAAGATCTCTGTAAAAACATTGATCTAACTACTAGTGACAAGACTAAATTGTGCATAAAACTGTATGCAAGATTTTGTGAATACCTTTATGAAGAGAAAAATAGCAGTTTGGCTGAATTCTTCCTGAACCAACCCTTTACTGGTTGTAACACTCCTATGGCAAGGAAAGTATTGATTAACACAATGGTCACTAAATTGTCTTTGGATATAACACATTTATCATCTGCAGGAAGTTTGAATATTGCAGAAAAAGAGGTCCAAGGAGCATTACAAAAATGTTTAGCATTAGAGAAGGCAGTTCTCCAGTCTCGTAATGCCCAAAAAGAGGAAGAGTTTCGTCTTAATGTTGTAACATTTAGAGACAAGCTTGACAGGTACAAACAAGTTAATGATCTCTTGTCGAAGAGAATGAAAATTGCTGAAAAGGAAAAGCAAGAAGTTCTGACCAAAATTGTGGACTCAAAATCAAGAAAACTAGTTCGAGAATTAGGTCAAACATTGACGGCAATCCATCAATCACTTGCTAAACGTAAAGGGGTCACTGGTATGGATGAGAGAGAAAACAGTAGAAAGGCTCTAAAAGTGGATTATTCCACAGATATTCATTCTTCTGTAGATATCTGTTCAAGGGATAGGTTTAGTAATACAGCTGCTAGTGTAGACTTGGGAGAGGATGTTTCCCAGACAATCAGGGAAGGGATCTATGAACTTTTAGCCAGTGAAGTTGATGTGGATCAAGTGAGGCCAGTGATCTATCTTATCATGAATAAAGTGGCCGGTGAAGAGGCTCCAAGATTACCCAGTGTTTCATGGATTAGGAATTTTGCACGTCTTAATGGTTTTAAAATAAAATGAAGAAATGTTTCAGTACAAGTAACCATAAGATGCCCTAAACATTAGTTAGTTTATAAGACTTTTTTTTTTTTTCAACACACCAGCTGCATCTCACTGAGGCAGGGTGACCTAAAAATGAAAACCAAAGTTTTTCATTTTAACCCTTAAACGGTCCAAACGTATATATACATTCACGCGCGTAGCGCCCCAAACGTATATATACGTTTTCTTTGTCATTCATTCAACATTGCCACAATAAGCTTGAGTCACCTAGACATGAGAGAATGGGTGTGCGCACTCACTGTGCGCCATATTAAAATAATTGGGGATGCCTGGGTACCATATGCTCTTTTTTCCTTTTAAAAAAACAGATTTTTTTTTTTTCTCAAAAAATTTGGGGCGCTATGCGAGTGAACGTATATATACATTTGTACCGTTTAAGGGTTAAATTTAGTAATTTATGCAGATGGGGTTACTAGTCCCTTCCCTTTGACATTTTAGTCACCACTTATGACATGCTTCGCTTTATTAGACATGTTACCATAAATGGTAAAAATTATTTCTTATGAGCAAGATAATAATATAGAATTCAGCACCTTCTTTTTTTTTTTTTTTTTTTTTTTTTGCCATACAGGAGAGCCCCGCTTATACAGCAGGTCAGGTTCTGGGCTACTGCTGTAAAGTTAAACATATCCTTTTTTTACTTTCAAATTCATATAAAAGCCTGATAACATGTTTATATTATCATATATTAAGTGAGTAATAGAGCTAGGCCTTAAAAATGCATATATATTACGCACATCACTTATCTTACAATATTTTTATTCTTATAGTGAGTGGTGAATATATTTAATGTAGGACGTCTGGATGAATGAAGAATGGGTATGACTAAAAACCACTGTATTAGTGAAACACTGTAAAGCGAAGCGTTATAAAGTGGGGCCTTCCTGTACTTTTAATGTTCACTTTCATTTATTGTTTATTATACCCAAATTTAATTCTTGTTAATTTTTTATTTTAGTAATTCCAGTGTAATTTTTGGCTACATACAAGCATGTTTGTAAGTAGGGAGTTGGTCTTAATTTTTTTTGTTAGTTTGCATATCTGGTGATGAGAATTGGAGTATAGTTGTTCACTTCCTATGTGTTTAAAGAATTGAACGAGAGGAAGCAAAAATGACTTATAAGCGTAGTATAGGACTGACACAGCAGATGGCTGGTATACACAAGTGCTGGTCCAGTCTTGTGGATAACTAACATTTCTTCTACTAATTTCCTTTTCATCCTCATTCACCCTTCTCCACCTCACCTTTCTTCTCAATTTTCCTTTTTCTCTGTTTTTCTTCTCTATCATTCATTACTTCATCTTCTTGCCCATTTTTCTTCTCCATCTTCCTCCTTGGTGAGCATTGACCCATACAAGTTTAGTGTTTTTTTTGTGAATATAAGTACAGCCTCTCCTCACTTAACAATGGAGTTCCATTCCTAAGACCACATAGGTAAACGAATTCGTTGCTAAGTGAGGAGCATGCTGTAATGGTAGTGGGTTTGTGTCAACTATATTTGATATTATTTTAATGTCACCTTTTCATCATTTATAACATTTGTGGTATATTCTTAAATGTTTATAGAGTAGTGTACTGTATATTGTAATAAACAGAATAGAGGAAATCAGCTTTAACACATTATTTAGGTGTGCATACTGGTCACAGAACCCGTCGTAAGTTGGAGGCATTGGTAAATGAGAACATCACTAAGTGAGGAGAGGCTGTAATTGGAGCTTGGGTAATAGCCACTGACTATATTTTGAGGTAAAATACATGTAGGTACCATTAGCTAATCTCCAAGCCTAGTAAAGGCTGAGATAAATATGCTGTAATTGTATGAGATGATTTAAATGAAACTAATTTGGTTTTTCTTTACAATTTAAAGTAAATAAACATTGGTGGGTCATTTGAATTATGCCCATACACTCCTGGAAAGACAGTTTGGGAATGAGCAATGGTGAACTTTTTTTTTTTTTTCACCCTACCTGGGTGGGAAATGGTGGGTGTATTTAAAAAAAATCTTACTCTATATCTTCACCTGTTTGTGGTTATAGAGGCTGAGTCTCAGTTTCTGGCATTGACTAGTAATTGTATTATTAATTACATGTTGATTCCTCTTATTTTTTTTAGTCCCAGTCACAACAATATTCCATTGCTGTATTATTATTATTATTATTATTATTATTATTATTATTATTATTATTATTATTATTATTATAATGGGGGAGTGCTAAACCCGTAGGATTGTACAGCGCATGTGGGGGGTGATGAAAGATATTCAGGCTAAATTCCGGGAACTGGAGCACAGATCCAATTCCCTAGATCAAGAGCCCCTCACCAGCTTCAAGGAACCTCCCTTGAGGGGTCCATTGCTGTAGCTTTCATAATAAATTGATAGTTAAACAAGAGGTCAACAACATGCAAATGACCTGAGTTACAAACATCTCTACTTAAAAACTGAGGACTTAGGAATTATCTAAAGTTTTATTTATCATTGAGCTGCACTACAACCAGGTGAAATAGCCATCCTTTGTAGTACATACTATTATTTTCTATATAAACATATTTGCAGGTTGAAAAGTCAGGAATGCAGCTCATTGTAAGTTGAGGACCTGCTGCAGTACACTTACAGTGCTGTATTGTATTAAGATATTTGTACACTAATTTAGATTTTTTTGTACTTTAATAGCATTTATATGACTGTATATCTTAATGTCCTATAGAAATTCAGCTAATATTTGATTTTTTTGGGTATTGAAAGTAGCTATATGTGCTGAACTTCAACTTTTTTTATATTTGTATGGTATAGTAATTAATAGATTTACTGTTAACACAGTTTTAATTATTGACTCATAATCTTAACTTATGAGTACAACCCATTTTGTATTGATGAATAAATTAAATTTCATAATGTTTCTTTTTATGTCCCACTGACACTGGTTCACCTAGGTATGTCACATTCTCCTTCCTCCCTCTCAAACCTGGGTGTATCACACTCTCCTCCCTCCCTCCCAAACCTGCGTGTGTCACACCCTCAGCCTGCCCTCCCTCCCCCCCAAACCTGGGAGTGTCACACTCTCCTTCCTCCCTCCCAAACCTGGGTGTCACACTCCTCCCTCCTTCCTTCCTCCCAAACCTGGGTGTCACATTCTTCTCCCTCCTTCCCTCCCAAACCTGGGTGTGTCACACTCTTCTCCTTCCCTCCCTCCCTCCCTCCTAAACCTGGGACACTGTACCATGGTGGCATGGTTTGTGCCCCCCTCCTTTACCCAAAGCTGGGACACTTTACCATGGTTGCATGGTTTGTGCCTCCCCCTATCCTTCCCCAAATCAGGGACACCCTACCATGGTGGCATGGTTTGTGCTCTCTCCTTAACCCCAAGCTGGGACACCTTACCATAGTGGCATGCTTTGTGCCTTCCAGTGCTGAGCCATCTTACAGTAGTGGCAGGGCTTATGCTCCCAGACACTGGTTTACCATACTGTGTGGCAAGGTTTCAGCCTAATAACCAAGCAGTCCATTTTTTTTTTTCAGCTTTCACAAAGAGCTGTATGACCCTAGTGGGTTTAGCACTTTGTTTTGATTATAATAATTCTGGGACATACGACTATGGATATGCTATTGTTTTTATTATATGATTATACCTTTTTTTTTTTTTTTATCACACTGGCCAATTCCCACCAAGGCAGGGTGGCCCGAAAAAGAAAAACTTTCACCATCATTCACTCCATCACTGTCTTGCCAGAAGGGTGCTTTACAATACAGTTTTTTTAAACTGCAACATTAACACCCCTCCTTCCCGAGTGGCAGCACTGTACTTCCCTCTCAGGACTCAGTTCCGCCTGCCGGTTTCCCTGACCCCTTCATAAATGTTACTTTGCTCACACTCCAACAGCACGTCAAATATTAAAAACCATTTGTCTCCATTCACTCCTATCAAACACGCTCACGTATGCCTGCTGGAAGTCCAAGCCCCTCGCACACAAAACCTCCTTTACCCCCTCCCTCCAACCTTTCCTAGGCCGACCCCTACCCCGCCTTCCTTCCACTACAGACTGATACACTCTTGAAGTCACTCTGTTTCGCTCCATTCTCTCTACATGTCCAAACCACCTCAACAACCCTTCCTCAGCCCTCTGGACAACAGTTTTGGTAATCCTGCACCTCCTCCTAACTTCCAAACTATGAATTCTCTGCATTATATTCACGCCACACATTGCCCTCAGACATGACATCTCCACTGCCTCCAGCCTTCTCCTCGCTGCAACATTCATCACCCATGCTTCACACCCATATAAGAGCGTTGGTAAAACTATACTCTCATACATTCCCCCTCTTTGCCTCCAAGGACAAAGTTCTTTGTCTCCACAGACTCCTAAGCGCACCACTCGCCCTTTTCCCCTCATCAATTCTATGATTCACCTCATCTTTCACAGACCCATCCGCTGACATGTCCACTCCCAAATATCTGAATACATTCACCTCCTCCATACTCTCTCCCTCCAATCTGATATCCAATCTTTCACCACATAATCTTTTTGTTATCCTCATAACCTTACTCTTTCCTGTATTCACTTTTAATTTTCTTCTTTTGCACACCCTACCAAATTCATCCACCAATCTCTGCAACTTCTCTTCAGAATCTCCCAAGAGCACAGTGTCATCAGCAAAGAGCAACTGTGACAACTCCCACTTTATGTGTGATTCTTTATCTTTTAACTCCACGCCTCTTGCCAAGACCCTCGCATTTACTTCTCTTACAACCCCATCTATAAATATATTAAACAACCACGGTGACATCACACATCCTTGTCTAAGGCCTACTTTTACTGGGAAATAATTTCCCTCTTTCCTACATACTCTAACTTGAGCCTCACTATCCTCGTAAAAACTCTTCAATGCTTTCAGTAACCTCCCTCCTACACCATACACCTGCAACATCTGCCACATTGCCCCCTATCCACCCTGTCATGCGCCTTTTCCAAATCCATAAATGCCACAAAGACCTCTTTAGCCTTATCTAAATACTGTTCACTTATATGTTTCACTGTAAACACCTGGTCCACACACCCCCTACCTTTCCTAAAGCCTCCTTGTTCATCTGCTATCCTATTCTCAGTCTTACTTTTAATTCTTTCAATAATAACTCTACCATACACTTTACCAGGTATACTCAACAGACTTATCCCCCTATAATTTTTGCACTCTCTTTTGTCCCCTTTGCCTTTATACAAAGGAACTATGCATGCTCTCTGCCAATCCCTAGGTACCTTACCCTCTTCCATACGTTTATTAAATAATTGCACCAACCACTCCAAAACTATATCCCCACCTGCTTTTAACATTTCTATCTTTATCCCATCAATCCCGGCTGCCTTACCCCCTTTCATTTTACCTACTGCCTCACGAACTTCCCCCACACTCACAACTGGCTCTTCCTCACTCCTACAGATGTTATTCCTCCTTGCCCTATACACAAAATCACAGCTTCCCTATCTTCATCAACATTTAACAATTCCTCAAAATATTCCCTCCATCTTCCCAATACCTCTAACTCTCCATTTAATAACTCTCCTCTCCTATTTTTAACTGACAAATCCATTTGTTCTCTAGGCTTCCTTAACTTGTTAATCTCACTCCAAAACTTTTTCTTATTTTCAACAAAATTTGTTGATAACATCTCACCCACTCTCATTTGCTCTCTTTTTACATTGCTTCACCACTCTCTTAACCTCTTTCTTTTTCTCCATATACTCTTCCCTCCTTGCATCACTTCTACTTTGTAAAAACTTCTCATATGATTATACCTATAATATGATATTATTATTACATTCATGGGGAAGCACTAAGACTGTATGGGGTGATACAATACCTGCGGTGATTGGCGGTAATCATGTTTCATCCAAGGAAGGGGAAGTCAGGTTCAATTCCTTTTCTCAAGAGCCCCTCTCGAGCAACAACTTGAGGGGCAAAATATGGCAGTAAATTAATTGTAATAGCATCAAGATGATAGTGTTAACAGTGAATTGTTAAGACAGCTGAAAATTGGTGCTGATAACAGTGAACTCTTAAGTGAGCAGTGCAGAGTGTCACAGACTTTGGCACTCAACGGTGTGTCTAGGCCTGCAGAAGGTTACAGCACTGGAGGTGCAGCAGGAGTAGCGAAAGGCTGGCATTACAAGACTATGATACACTTGACTATGCTATATAATACAATACTTTACTGTCTAATGCACCAGACTACATTAGACAAAACTATACGACACTAGAGAAAACTATGCTACAAAAGACTACACTAGACAAAACTACACAGGACTATACTAGACAAAACTATACTACAAAGGCTACACTAGACAAAACTATATTACACAAGACTACACTCAGCCTTGGATTACCCATATAGCAATACATATAAGCAATTGCTTAGGGCACCATAGGGTACCAGTACCATAGCTGTAGCTTACACAACATTACACAAGCCTACACTATGCAGGACTACACTACACAAGACTACACTACATGTGACTACACTACACAAGACTACACTAAACATGACTATGCTACACATGACTACACTACACAAGACTACACTTATGGAGATAAATGGTTCAGAGAACCACTGACAAGTTGAAAAGTTAGATACATGTGCAACATTTACGTAGTACAGTATCAGTAGTAGTATAGTAGCAGTAGTAGTAAAGTAGCAGTAGCACCTACCTACCTGGGGTCTACCTAGAGGGTATTCCTGGGATCAACGTCCCTGTGGCCTGATCCACGACCAGGCCTGGTGGATCAGGATCTGATCAACCAGGTTGTTACTGCTGGCCACATGTATTCTAACATACGAGCCACAGCCTGGCTGATCTGGCACCAAATTTAAGTATCTGTCCAGTTGCCTCTTGAAGGCAGCCAGGGGTCTATTGGTAATTGCCCTTATGCATGGTGGGAGGCTGTTGAATAGTCTTGGGCCCCGGACACTTACTGTGTTTTCTCTTATTGTACCAACGGTGCTCCAGTCTTTTACTTTCATAGGGAGTGATTTGTGTGTGCAGATTAAGGACATTCCTTCTAGGACTTTCCAAGTGTAGATTATGATATATCTCTCTCGCCTGTGCTCCAGTGCTGTAGTATAATAGTAGTAGCAGTAGTGTAGTAGAATAGTAGCAGTAGTGTAGTAGAATAGTAGCAGTAGTATTGTAGTAGTAATATATAGCAGTAGTAATAGTATTATTATAGTAGTAGTACTGTAGCAGTAGTAGCATAGTAGTAACAACAGCTGGTGCACAGAAGTGGTTCAAGCATCACTGTAGCGAATAGTATTTCCAGCTGTACTCTCACTTGCTCATTATGGTGTGTAAATTGTAGGGATGGAACAATACCAGATTTGTTGCCGATGTTGATATCAAAATTAGTCGATACCCATCAATACTGGCACTGATACTGTTACCATAAAGTGGCTGGTACCCACTGATACTCAGTTGTATGCCAATCCCATCAAAATTAAGTAATACTGATACAGATACTGATACTTTGACACTGCCCTAGTAAATTGTTATATAATTTTGTTACCTATCCTAAATTATTTATGACAAATATAATAAAAAATTAAGAATTACATGTATTTAAGTCACTGCATGATCCGAGAAAGGGATCCCCATATTTCATAAGCCCAGCCTCCTATACCACAATGCATCCAAAAATACAGTGGACCCCTGGTTAACGATATTTTTTCACTCCAGAAGTATGTTCAGGTGCCAGTACTGACCGAATTTGTTCCCATAAGGAATATTGTGAAGTAGGTTAGTCCATTTCAGACCCCCAAACATACAAATACAAACGCACTTACATAAATACACTTACATAATTGGTCGCATTGGGAGGTGATCGTTAAGCGGGGGTCCACTGTATATAGGATTGTCATAAAATTCCAATATAAAAATATGTATGCATGTGTGTGTATGTGAATTTCTGTACATATGTGCACTTTCATATGTATACAGTATGTGTGTTTGTCTCAAAAATTTGTAATGACATGATTGCAGACAAATAATAAATACGTATAATAATAATAGTATATTTACTACATGTACAAAGTATACAGGCCTAGCTGACATCAATGACACTACTACTATATAGTAAGTCGCTTGTTATGCATTGCATTTCGGGCAAATTAAGCCTCAGGATGCGACCCACACCAGTCCACTAACACTCAGGTACCCATTTCACTGATGGATGAACATAGACAACCGGTGTAAAGAAACACGTCCAATGTTTCTACCCTCACTGGGAATCGAACCCAGATTCTTGCTGTGTGAAGCGAGAGCTTAAGCCACCAGGCCACGGAAGGTAATTCCCCACCCAGAGGTGGACGGAACGCTCAGCCTGACTATGCTACCAGAACACAA